GCGAAGGCCTGTTTCAAGAGTACCTGGAAATGGGTAGGAGCCATGTTAGTGACCATGGCCTTGGCCTTGGGCATCTGTGTACATCTTCCTGTGGGGACAGAGGGTCCCCCATGGAGCCAGGCCCCCAAAGGCTCTGGAAAGGAGATTGTGGAGGTTGGAGGGAAGAGGGCCTGAGAGAGGATGGCCAAGAATGGGACAGGAAAGCATTGCGGGCACAGGGGTCCAGAAGAGGGCCTGGGGGTCTTGGATGGGGCACTGGCAAGCATGGTCCAGAGCCAAGTGGCAGGAGTGAGAAGAGAAGCTGAATGCTGCAGAGATGGGCCCTGGGGGTGAGGACAAAGGCCGGCTCCAGATGTGGGGACACCTAGGAGGTGGTTTTTCCCCAGAGATCTCGATGCCCACACTCTGCTGGACTCCAATGCACCCTCGTCAGCTGGTACCCATGCGTGCAGCTCACGCCCCACACAGGGTGAAGCCCTTTCGAAGGGCAGGGTGTGTGTCCACTACAGGCACTGGTCCCTGCAAGTGCAGGGTCCTCCTCAGAGACAAGAGAGGGGAATCGATCTCCCACGCTCCTAACCTAAAGTGGGTATCTGGACAACATACTGGTCTGAGTGCTCCACTAGCCAAAGTGGAAGGGGTGGTAGAGTGTTATCCACCAATCTATGGACAAAAGGGAGTTGGATGGTTCTTGAGGGAGAGACATGTGTTTTCATGATGACATGGAGTGGGGTTGACCTCCCGTGTCCCTACTCCACCAGACAAGAAATGGGACCCCATGCTCCCCTTCATAATTTCACATAAGACTCAGAAATCCCTTTCAAGAAGCCATTCCCGGGGCGCCTGGTGGCTCAGTCAGTGAAGCAGGCAAGTTTTGATCTCAGGGTTGTGAGTTCGAGCCCCACACTGGGCGCAGAGAATATTTAAAAAAAAAAAAAGAAGAAGAAGCTATTCCCTAAAGCTCCCCTGAAGGGGTGAATGGAGAAGCCAGCCCTAAAATCAGAAGCAGGTTCCTGCTTCCATGGCTGCATGAGGCAAACAGGGTTTCTGAGCACTGGGGAGGAGAGTTCCAGAGTCCCTGACTTCAGGGAGTACGGGGAGGGCCAAAACAGGCCAGAAAGGCCTGCAGCGCTGTGTGAGCCCCCAGGGACGGCTTCCTGGGGGAGGGGTCTCTGGAGGTGTGGCCAGAGCCTCCCTAAGTGGGGGCGGTGGTGGTGGCTGTGGAAGGCTTCTGCGGGCAGACGGGGTCACACTGTGTGGGCCCGGGGGGGTGGGGGGGGCGGCGGTGACCGCCGGTGTCGTTCGCAGTGCTACAGTTCGGCTTCGTCACCATCTTCGTGGCCGCGTGCCCGCTCGCGCCCCTCTTCGCGCTGCTCAACAACTGGGTGGAGATCCGCCTGGACGCGCGCAAGTTCGTCTGCCAGCACCGGCGCCCGGTGGCCGAGCGCGCGCAGGACATCGGCATCTGGTCCCACATCCTGGCGGGCATCGCGCACCTGGCAGTGGTCAGCAACGTGAGCGCCGGGGCTGGGCTGGGGCGGGACGGGGCGGGGCCGCGCAGACTGGCTCCAGCTGACCCGCCGGCCCCGCCCAGGCCTTTCTGCTGGCCTTCACGTCCGACTTCCTGCCGCGTGCCTACTACCGGGGGACCCGCAACGGCGACCTCCACGGCTTCGTCAACTTCACGCTGGCGCGCGCCCCGCCCACTTTCGCAGCCGCGCACAACCGCACATGCAGGTGGGAACAGGGAGGGGGTGGGGGAGTGCTGGGGACCGGGCGCCGGGAGCTGGGGTGGGGTGGAGTCCGGCCGGTGGCTCCTGGACCCCGGTCCTGGAGCTCCGGCCTCTTGCTTATTTGGAACTGATGGTGTCCATTTTTACTATTTTAGAAGTCACCCTTGCATTTTTAGCATTCCGATTAACTATGTAAGTGTTCCTGACCAAGAATGTAGGGACTCACTCGTCTCCTTTCCCATGTGTGACAAGGGTCTTCACACACTTTACAGCCGACTGAACCCCCACCACTACACTTTGTTATTGTTACACAGTTTTAGTTTTACTATTAAAAAAAAAAAACATTTTGGGGGCACCTGGGTGGCTCAGTGCATTAAGACTCTGCCTTCAGCTCAGGTCGTGATACCAGGGTCCTGGGATAGAGACCCACGTCGAGCTCTCTGCTCCACGGGGAGCCTGCTTTCTCCTCTCTCTCTGCTTGCCTCTGCCTACTTGTGATCTCTGTCAAATAAATAAATAAAATCTTAAAAATTTTTAGTAATTTGTTAATCATATCTATTTGGTATATTTTAGTAGCTTCTGTGACTACGGTTTCTTCAGCGTTGCCTTTCCTCTGAGTTCATTTTTAATGCTGGGAATTCTCTCTTTGTCCTTCAAATAGCAGGCATACAATTTTTTTTTAAAGATTTATTTATTTGACACAGAGAAAGAAATCACAAGTAGGCAGAGAAGCAGGCAGAGAGGGGGAAGTAGGCTCCCTGCTGAGCAGAGAGCCCAATGCGGGGCTCAATCCTGGGCGGGACCTTGAGATCATGACCCGAGCCGAAGGCAGAGGCTTAACCCACTGAGCCACCCAGGCGCTCCCAGGCATACAATTCTAGGTTTGACTTATTTTCCCTCAGCTCTTTGGGATTATTACTCTCTTGTGACCTTGTTTTCTTATAGGAAGCACTGGTAGAGTCTCCTTAAAAGTTTCTCACTGAAACTCAGTACATGCTTTTGGTCTAAAAGGTGATGTCTTTCCTTAGTTCCAGAAACCTCTCCCTTTCATTGTTTCAAACAGAGCTTCTCTAGTCTGCATTCTTAGCTTCTGGAGGACACGTTGGAGTACCTCTGTCTTCCTTTCATGTCTCTCAAAGGCACGGTGAATATCTTTGACTTCTTCTGGCTCTCTGTAGAGCACTCAGGATGATTACAAAGAATTGTCTCTCCATTCCCAATCTCTCATGTCATGTCTAGTTTAGCCACTGAAAAAGTTTATGACATTCATTGATGGTTTCCCCCTCAATTACTGTTTAATATTCGAGATTTCCCCCCCTACAACGTTGGCCCTGGTAGTGCTTTCCATCGAGTGCAGCATGTAAGTTTATGTCACAAAGCAGAACGTCACATCTTGTCAGAAGTGCAAGCAGCTGTCCAAGGATGGCAAGGTGACAGGCCGAAAGTAACGAGCCTATTCAGTCAGGAGACTGTGCTGGGTGGGCAAGTGTGAGTAGCGTTTGCTGCTGGTCTCATGGAACGGCACATTTTCTCGGTGTTAAGTAGGGTGACACCACCCACAGCAGCACAGATTTACTGTATTAGCACATCCACTGGACAATAGGACCTTTGCCACCACGGGACCCAGTTTAGACTTCAAGGGAGTGGGACAATCCAGCCCATCCATCCTTCCCTTTGGGACCCCAACACTGAAAGCTAAAGGTCCTGTCAGAGTACCCTCTTTACGAGTACTTGCTCCTCTAGGTGTCCTCAGGTAAGCCAGGTCCAGAATCAGGGTCAGGGAAGGAAAAGACAGAGCCCCAGCTGCCCAGACGGACTTCCTGATCTCCTGCAGGTACCAGGCTTTCAGGGAAGATGATGGGCAGTATTCTCCGACCTACTGGAATCTTCTGGCCATCCGCCTGGCCTTCGTCATTGTGTTTGAGGTGAGCCAGGCTCCCAGTTCCCCAGCTGGCTTCTCCCACTACCCCCCGCCCCCAGGATGCCTGATCCACCATGTGGCGTGCAGCTGTGGGGTGCACATGCACCGCCACCTGGTCCCATCACAGCTCTCCTGCACACTGTCTTCTCCCCATCTTGGAACCAGTCAGTCCCTGCCTGGCCGCTGTCTCTGGGTGCTGCAAGTGTGGCGGGAGGCTCTACAGGGCCCCGGAACCTGGGACTGTGTCTGGGACAGGTGTCTGTAGCTGTGGCTCCTGCCGCCTCCAGGGGTTTCCTCTGCTACACTGCTCTTCTGCAGCTCAGCCCACACCTGGGGAGCAGATGCCCACACCTGGCCCTGTTCAGGCGAGTAGAGGCATCTGTTCTACCAAGGGTGGGCACCCTCTCCCACTGCTTATACCATGTCCTGCTCCCAGCACGTGGTGTTCTCCATTAGCCGGGTCCTTGACCTCCTGATACCCGACATTCCCGAGTCTGTGGAGGTCAAGGTGAAGCGGGAGTACTACCTGGCCAAGCAGGCACTGGCTGAGAATGAGGTGAGTGAGCCCCTCCCCAACCCCCAGTCCTCCCGCGTCGCCTTCCCCCATCTGCCAGTGGCATGGCACCTGGCCTGGCACTCTGCTGTAGCCCGTGACAGACCATGCTCAGTCCAGTCACTCCCTCTTACACCCTTTCCTGGAGACAGGCTCTCTCTGGAACAAATGGAGCAAAGGACAACAGCTTCCTGGGCTCGGAGAAGAGTCTGGGCTCACAGCTTACAACACCAGGAGTCGGCCAGGCCTCACCAGTCTCTTCTCTCTGAGGTCACGGGGTCACCTCAAGTAGGTAGTCGCAGATGGAGGGCAGGGACTCCCGAGGTCCCAGAGCTATCACAGGCCCGATGCCCTCAAGAGGCCACAGCTCACCTCCTGCCCCTTCTTGGCCCCAAGTGCTGTGACCTCGGTGACCCTGGGTCTCTGCTCAGGCACCTTACCTCCCAGGTGCTGGCTGGGGCCCCCCAAGGCCAGCTGACTGCAGCAATAGCTGGAGCTGCTCCCTGGCCTCTCCCTCCCTCCCGGCCCCAGGGCAGGTAGCTCCACACCAGCTGTGCTGGCCCGCCTCACCCCTGCTCAGGGCCCACTGCCTGCTTCCCTCCCAGCGCCTTGCCTCTCTGCTCTCAGGGCACTGCTGACCCATCTCCCACATGCCAGCTGGGAGAATCACACCAGAGACTAGAACTATCTATGCATCTCCAGTTACCACTTAAGAGCATACTGAAGGCATCCCTGGTTCCACAGGACCGAGAGAAGACATGCTGCATGACAAAATGAGTTGTAGCACACTCTATCTGGTTTCATGTTTTATTTTAGAATTTATAAAATTCCAGTGTCATCCATATTCATAAGCCTTTACACATGTTTGCATATAATCTCCAGGTTCCAAAATTAAGGCCAAGGGACGGATCATAGCTATGGAAACACATGATATGGAAGACATTCAACAAAGGAAATGGACACGCACACCCCACCCTGCCCAGGGCTGTCCCAGCTGCAGGGGTGGCTGCAGGAGACCAGGCCTGGGCGGGGTCACCAAGCAATCTTTAGTAACAACCACCAAAAACAGAGCACACAAGATCCCAAATACAGTTTTGGGGGAGAGAGGGGGTTTGCATCTATAACATTTAGCAATAAATGCAGATGTGCAAAAAACCTGTTGTGAAAATTTAAAATTTACCTTTAGGGGAGGGCAGGGGTGGGCGCTGTGGAAGGATGCTATAGAAAAGACGGAGGGAAGAGGGGTTTGGGTAGATGCTGTGAGGGTCGGAGGGGCCAGTGGAGGGAAACAAGATGGCCAACAGGAAAGGCCCCAAACCTCACGCAGCTGGAGAAAAGGTGCCCTTTCCCAACCAGGCCCCCCAAGAGATGGAGGGGGTACTCCTGGAAAGGTAAGGTAGCACCGTCCCCTCCTCCCTCCCTATCCTCACTGGACCTACTTTGGGTCCCCCAGCCTGTCCACTCAAGTGCGTGTTCTCTCTCACCCCAGTCCATCGCTCCTGGAGGTGGACACACCTCAGGCTGCCACATGGACGGGAGGCTCAAGGTGCACTTGTCAAGTGACACTCCCGTCTACTCAGAATCGTAGTAGAGTCGGCAGGTCACTGAGCTTCCATTAACGGAGCTCGAGAGAGAAGGGTGGGGGTGTGGGGGTGGCACAGACTGTGCGTGCAGGACACATGTCCAGCCCCTAGGAATGCCAGTATTTCAGGGTGGGACGAGACAAGGCAGAGGCAGGGATGGGGAGGGCCCGTCCGCGGTCCCACACGACACGGCACAAAGGCGCCTCCGCACTGCCTGGGGCCCCCTTCCTCTCCGAGCGGACCCTCAACAGGCAGCTGCAGAGCCAGGCCCCCTGCTTGCTAAGGCCTGTGGTCCAACAGCCACAGTTACCCACTGCATGCCTGAGACAGAGGAGAGCCTCCCTTGTTGGCGGCTGGTCCTCACCTCTCTGTACCCCGGGACCACAAAGCCAGCCTCTCCAGACCAACCCCTGGGAAGCCCACACCCAGCACCTGGGCTTGTGTCAGAAGACAGCCTAGGGGAGACCTGGTGCTGCAGCCAACGTGCCGCCACTGGAAACCTCTAAACCAAGAGGCCGAGCGCCATGGCTGGCTCTCTCCTAAGCGTGGGACCATGCCACGCTAACTCTGAGGTAGAAAGGAGGCGACTTCATACCTGGCGCCTGGGGGTGGTGGGTGGGCACGAGGGAGGAGTGGACAGTCTCCACCACCGCTCCACAGGCCTCCCTTCTCCCCGTGCCACGTTTCTTAGGCCACACCAGGCCACCGTGCCAGCCACGGTGGACCTATATGGAGATGTGCGGCCTTGCCTTCAGGCTTTCCTCACCAGACTTGGGGTCTCCAGTGCCGCGTGGTGCGGGGTGGAGACACTCGGTGCTTTCAGACCCCAACGTGTGCAAAGCCAAGACCGCCTGAGAACCCAGGTCACCCTTCTGCCTCTCTGGTCCCCTGAGGCTCCACTGCAGCTCTCCTTTGGGTCCGGGCACTCCCAGTATGCAAACTGGGTCTTCCTCCCCACCCTGTGGTCTGGGCTAAGTGGGCTTTTTGGCAGCTGGAAGAAGGTGGATTGGATTGCATTTGACAAGGAGGGACTGAACGGCAGGCAGAGGGAGGAAAGGAGGTGGGAAAGGAAGAGGGCAAACATTTTGGCTTTTATAAAGTCAAGGAAATTTATTTCCTGAGGTCATGACACAGGAAGTAGACTCAGCCACAGCTGTGGAGCTCTCAGAGTGGAGGCCAGAGCCTTACTGACATGCTGGATGAGCCAGGAGGCTTGTAGGGAAATGTCCAATTACCTCTGTTAGTGTGCACAACAGCGGAGCGCCGTCCCAGAGCAAAAGGTGTCAGGGAGCAGATCCTGAGCGCACGCGGGGGGCTGGCGCGCCCGGCTTCACTGCGAGACCTCGGGGAGGGGGAAGCGTCAACAATTTATGGAGGGTCCAGCTGCTGGGTCAGATTGAAACAAACCATGTGTGGTGGGGTTTGGGACAGCAGGCTGGAGAGGTTTCTGCTTTCTGATCATTATCGTTTGGGGCCCCATGGGAGGGTCTTGGGGGCCACCTGAGCCCCAAAGCTGGGAAACTCTTCGGAGCTGCTCATGTCAGGGGCCTGTAGGGGAAAGAGTGCACAGCTTCAGTAAGGGGATCCCGCCTGAGCAGCCTCCCCAGTGGAGAGCTAAGTGCTGCTCGCCAGTGCTCCCCCTCCCAGGGCACATGGAGCAAAGAAGAGCATCTAACCTTCTCGCTGCTATTTGCGGTCCAGGGGGCGTCCCGGACCACAAAGCCCTTTGATGGCGCTTTGGACTCCTCATGGGCTGGCGGCTTCATGTACAGCTGCAGGGCCTCGCTGTCGACCACGTCAGCCAACTGTGGGCACAGGTGTGTGGGGGGGTGGTCAGTCAGCAGGCATGCATAACAACCATGTTTGTTTAGTCTCTAGTAATCAAGACTCGCTCAGGGGAGACCCTGTCCCTGGCATGCCCAGGGAGCAAATGCACACAGCCTTGCTGTCACCCCACGCCAGTCAGAGGCAAGGTGTCCTAGGTACAGGCCTCCTGCCCAGACACAACTCACGTATTCCTCCTCTAGGTTGAGGATGTGATCGATGGCTTCTTCCACGTTCTCTGGGAGCCCTGTCACGGTGACGCAGTTGGGGTCTGGGGCCCCACTCTGTGGGAAGCGAATGTCCACCTGGAAGGAGCATATATAGCAGCTGAGGCAGGGTCTCTGGACCAGAGGCTCATGGTTCTGCGTGGCTGGGAATGGTGGACTACTAGTGAACTTTCCCCAAGTTAACCTTGTTTTCAAGAGGCAAAGGTCCTGTACATCAGAGCTAAGCATGATATGACAGATACAGAAGCCACTTGTGCCCTGTGGGGCTGCCCCTCCTGCAGTCAGGGTAGGACACTGCCCAACACTACCAAGGGCACCTGGCTGTGCCCCCTGTGCCACCTCACCAACTTAGGGACAGGCATGTGAGTGTCAGACTTTCAAACCCTAAGTGTGGTCAGCAGCTGAGGCAGGAAGCCCTGAGGCCCTCAACTAGGCCACGGGAAGCATGCACCCCATCGCACCCACCATGCTTCCAGGACTTGATGCCCCTTCACGACTGGGCTGGGGACCCACCTTGAATTCATCCATGATTTTGCGGATGGCTTTTCCACGGGCGCCAATGATACGGGCGTGAACACGGTGGTCCAGCGGGACATCCTCAGAAACCATTTGTTCAAGTTCACCCACAATTTTCAATATGGCGTCCCGGGCAGCTTCTGTATTCTTTTCATACCCTGTGATAGTAATTTGGTCCTGGGGCTGAGAAAGAACAACCAGTCAGAAGATGGGAAACCCCTAGAAATTCCAGGCTGGGAGCCCTAACCCAGCAGGTGCAGTTCTGGAGGTGACAAGAGGCAGCTCTGGCTGGACGAGGCAGGCCTCACCTTCAGGGTAAATACTGACCCACTCAGAACAGAAAAAAGCTAGACAAGAATGTCAGGTGCTGATTTAAAACAACAGATCAACAATGCCTACTGGCTCCTGCCCACTCCCCTCCCACCCCCGCCCCACCAAGAAGACACATATGGGAAAAGAAAGGACACCTGCACACAAAGAGAGCCGCAGGTGGGGGCACAGTGTCAGTGACCCCGGGCCCTGCATCTGGAGGCATATCGCTGGAGACAGACCGACCTGGAGAGAAGGGTCCAAACACCGTGGCCAGCACTCCACAGCCACAGCTCACCCCGGCCCAGCCTTCAGGCCTCCCACATCCACACAGACAGGCGAGGGCACCCTCGTAGAGCGCGGGCAGCGCAGACACACAACTCAAGGCATTACGAACACGTGAGCACAGAATCACCTCACCCCGTGAGCCACATTCTTTAAGGCAAGAGAATATACTACATGTACAAAAGAGCAACAGAACATAAAGGACCAGAGAACACTTTGTTTGGGAAACAAAGCAGAAGAGCAGGAACTTCAAGATCTGCCGAAAAGAGGCCACAAGGACCCCAGGAGACAGCAGAGCAGCAGCCAGTCCCCCTCCCCCACCACCACGGTGCCCAGAGCCCACCACCCGCCGACAAGCGCCTCCCCAGACAGATAGACCAGAACCCTTCGCCAACGGAAGCATGAGCCTCCCAGGAAAAAGCTGCCTATGAAGAAAACGTGGCCACTGATCCCCTTCAGCTTGTGGGATATTAGCCACTGTGGTCTGAACACCAAATAATGACTGTGATATTTATATAGCAAAGTTGAAGAAGATAAACACAGTGAAGGTGAGGGATAATTTCTTTCTTTTTTTTTTTTTAAGATTTTATTTATTGATTTGTCAGAGAGCACAAGCAGAGGGAACAGCAGGCAAATGGAGAAGCAGGCTCCCCACTGAGCAAGGAGCCTGATGGGGGACTCGATCATGAGCCTGATCATGACCTGAGCCGGAACACAGACACCCAACTGACTGAGCCACCCAGGAGTCCCAAGGTGAGGAGTTTAAAAGAGCTAAATTCTCAGAATTAAAAACATTACAAACTACAGGCGCCTGGGTGGCTCAGGTCACGGTCTCAGAGTCCTGGGATGGAGCTCCACGTCCAGCTTCCTGCTCAGTGGTCTGCTTCTCCCTCTGCCTGCTCTTAGGCTCTCATTCTCTCTCTCTCTCCCTCTCAAGTACATAAATAAAATCTTAGGAAAAAAAAAATAAAAACATTGAAAATTAAAGTTAAAGGGGTATCTGGATGGCTCAGTTGGAAGAGCGGGTGACTCTTGACCTCAGGGTCATGAATTCAACCCCACACTGGGCACATAGCTTACTTAAACAACACTACCACCACCACAAAGAATAAAAAAGAACAGCAGTGTAAACATGTTTGTTAGAAATGCAGAGGCAGATCAAAGGATGCATCTGGAAAAGGGGGACCTGGCAGGAGGCAGACAAGAGATGGGGCACGGGGTGAGGCCCTACAGGCCAGCCTGCCTTTCTGAACTCAGGCTGCGGCTCACAGACTTGGGCCAGGGAGAGAAGGAAGGTACAGATGGACGGCCTGCCACAGTGCTTGGATGCAGGGTTGAAAGGTCAGAGTCTACATAGGCATGCTGGGATTTGCTGACTGGAAGATTCTAGCAGACCATTTCTGGGTGCTCTGCTGCATGCTACTGGAGGAGAGACAGAGACTAGGCTCCCACTATGTGCAAAGCTGTGCTAGAAGGGACCCCTGTTCGAGCCAAGAACACAGGCAGGGGAGTGATGGGCGCGGGGAGGGTGCTCCTTGAAGGACTGCACCTGTGGGGACAATTGTGTGGGAGGGACCCAGCTGATGACCAGGTGGGCAGGGGAGAAGGTCCACGTGGCGATGCAGGCAGACACAGACCGAGATAGTGCCCAAAGCCCAAGCCAAAATCCGATCCTCAGAGACCTGTCACTCTGCACTCTGCCCTATCCCCACCCACCTGGGCACATCCTAAGCTCGCCTGCTCACTGCTCCCAGGTCAGGATGAGGTTACAAAAGTCTACCCGCCCAAAAATCCTCCGGGAACAGAGTCTGACCCAAGCAGTCATTCTTACCTGGCTCCCATCGTCCTTATCAGGAAACTGAATGTTCACATCATGTTCCAAGCGGATTTGGGTAATCACTGCCCCTTTTCTCCCAATAATTTTGGGATGGTATTTGGGGTCCACAGTGACACTCAGCTTAAAGCTCCTTAAAGCCTACAGATGAGACAAGAGTGGAGGAGTTCAAAGCCGACCATCACCATCATGTGCAGCCATGTGCTACTACCACCCGTCTTTCTGTCCTGAACCCCAAAGGTATCCCCGGTGACAAAAACAAGACATGGCTTTCCTATTAGCCTCTGTGTCACCCCGCCCCACCAGCTCAAGGACCTGCCCGTAAGCAAGCTCACAGATTCAGAAAGGACTCCTTGGGCATCAACAAGGCTGGCACAGCAAGTGGCGAGCTCTGAGCTCAACTTTTTAATTGGTTTAATAGGGATCTGATAAGTAAGTATAAAAATGTTCTGGGTGGGGTTGGAGAGTGTTTTCCAAGGCTGGGGTATAAAAGCAGGCCAGAAGGAAAAGAGAACCAGCCCGCCTAGGACATCCATGGCTGGGGTGAGACTGTTGGAAGCACACTCAGGTGTTAGAGGTCTGGGTGTCCTGCCCCAACCTGACTCCAGGGAGTCCTCGAAGCACAACCCAAGGAATCTGCACCAAGGCTTCAGGAGGGGACAACACCCAGCCTCCCTGTGTACCACTCAGGAAACCCTTCCAACGGCAGCTCTACAGAGGGGAGGTGGGTCTTGAACCCTCCCCAAAGCATGGAAACCCTGCAGTGAGAAGGTCCACATGGGCCCGCAGACACCCACCATGGACCACACCACTCACGTTTGGGGGTCTTTCGCAGCAACGGCTCCCAGGCCTCGCTAACCTTACCTGTCCTGTGTGGCTGGAGGCACCACAAATGGCACATTTACTTTGGGGAAAAAAAAAAAAAAAAAAAAAAAGACTAGCAGGAATCTAACTCTGCTGCTGTTAACAGGGAAGAGAAAAGTGCTACGCCCGCCAACGCTGCCCCTGAAAAAAGGCCCCTGGACACAAACCACAATGGGGTTGGCCAGCTCCTCTGGCCACCTAGCTGAACTGGCTGCCAAGTGGCCAGGGTGCTAGTGACCCTCCAGCATGATGACGAAGGCTGAGGACTGCAGCTCTGGTGGATGCCCCCGTGGCCCAGTGGAAACCCACCCGGTCCTCCTGCTCAGCCTGCAGCTCCCTCACGCGCTCCAGCAAGCCAGCCTTGGCCCGGTCCAAATTCGCGGCGAGGCCGGTAATGGCAATGACGTCAGACTGCAGCTCCGGTGCCGGCACATGGATGTTCACCTGCACAGACACAGGAGGGTACCCAATGCAGATGGGGTCCCAGACCAAGACAGGGGCGGCCCGCCGCTGCAGTAAGAGCAGGAAGAAGGCGCACTGCCACGGGGCTGGACTGCCAGAGACACTCGGGAGGGAAAGACTGCAAATTGGGGTACCTCAAACTCGTCCATCATCTTTCGGATACCACTCCCCTTCTGCCCAATGATGTACCGATGCAGGTCAAAGGGCACTTCCACTTCGATGGTGACAGGAACCAGCGCCTGCAGGAAACATGGACGGGGCAGGCCTGAGAGCCAGCAGGGAGCAGAGCGACCGTGTGAGAACTACAGGGAGCTTCCTGGAACCTTCCGTGCTGTTCTGCCTAAACTGAGACCAATATCCAGGCTTTTAACTCAAAAGAAAACACAAAAAGAGAACATGGAATCCAGGGACGCCTAGGTGGCGGTCAGTTAAGCGTCTGACTCTGGATTTTGGCTCAGATCATGATCTCTGGGTCCTGGGATCGAGCCCTGCATCAGGCTCCACGCTTGGGGGCTTTGCTTGGGAGTCTCCCTCTCCCCCTGCCCTGCCCTCTGCTTGCTTGGGCGCGCGCTCTCTCAAAACAAAAACAAAAATGACAAAACACCCAAAGACAAAACCACAGAATCCACTTTTTTAAGATTAGTGCCAAGAGAGCACACTTTCAGATCCTCACCCCAAGCTTACGCTCTTAAATGTGACAAGCTGCTTACAGAAACAAAAACAGAACTAACCGAGTCCAGGAAAAACAGAGCCACTTGAAGCTTACAGAGGGGGACTGGTGAGGCTCAAACACAGATGCATTCCCCCTGCTGTCACTGAACCTGCTAGCTCCGTGCCCATCGACAGCCCCCAGGCGCTGGGCTCTGGGCCCCAGACTGGTGTATCGGGCGCCGCTGGTAGCGGGAGCTGAGGGGATTGGGGCAGGCACTGCTGGGGCTGGGGCTGGGCACCACCGCCCTGAGGGCAGCCAGCATCAGGCCGCACCCACCTCGAGAGCTTCCTTGGCTGCCTCACACTTTTCTTTCCGGCCGGAGATGATGATGATGTCACACCGCCTGGGGGAGCCGGGGTCAGCCTCCTTGATGTCTCTCCCATCTCCAGCATCATCGCCGTTCTCTTGGACTGGCGGCTCTACGCTGTGAACTGGGGAGACGGCAGGAGCAGCTCACAGTACCGACTCAGCATCCTCCACACAAACACTTGGGAAGCCCCTGACACATGCTGACCCACACGCGCCGCGCTTCCCAAGAGGCTGTGAGCTCACCTCCTTGCCTCAGGTGGAGCTGGTGACCTCAGAGGCTGGTGGGTGGGAGGCATGGGGAAGGCACCCACTGTGTCTAAAGGGCCAGGACACTAGAAACCAAGCCCCAGGGCTAGGACATTGCTGTGGGGAGGGGTCTGCACCACAGGCTGGGAGGAAGGTGGGCACCTGCACCAGCTTCTTATACCAGGAAGCAAGCGAGCAAGAATCAAGAAGGAAGAGATGGGACCTGTGACAAAGAAGCCAGATGGTGGCGACAGGCAGCTGTGCACCTGAACACTAAAGAACCACAGTCCTGTACTGTGGGGGGGGGGGGAAGACTGGACTCCGTAGACACTTTCCAAAGTGGGAAAGTTTGAACACCAACTAAATTCTGTAACATTGCTACACACTGTCAGATCATGTGATTCTGATGATGGATGTCCCCCATCTGTCCCCCAGTTATCGCAAATGATGTTAAAAAGAAGTTCTGATGGGATGCCTGGGTGGCTCAGTGGGTTAAAGCCTTTGCCTTCAGCTCAGGTCATAATCTCAGGGTCCTGGGATCGAGCACTGCATCGGGCTCTCTGCTCAGCGGGGAGCCTGCTTCCCTTCCTCGCTCTCTCTGCCTGCCTCTCTGCCTACTTGTGATCTCTCTGTCAAATAAATAAATATTTTTTTAAAAAGTTCTGATTCTCAGGAAGGAGCCCCAAAGATAAATTTGTAAAGTACACTCAAACGACTTAGAAAAAATGACTGTATGCATAAAAGGGGGAGCAAGAGAAAACAAACTGAATTTGGATACTGAGTATAGAAAATCCATCTTTATCCTACGCAGTTTTCCTCCACATGTACTCAAAATAGGCCATCCTCTCAGGGAAAGAGGCGCTTCAGTGGCCGTGACCAGCTTTGTAGAGGACAAAGCACACAGAGGGGACCCAGGAAGCTGCATGGTCACTAACCGGACCAGACACATCCACTGAGACCGGTCAACAAAGACGACACACTTGGTCACAACCCGAGTGGGAGACAGGTCTTGGGAGAGTCAGCTCTGAGAGCCCTCGTGGTGCAGGTCACCTTGTGACCACCTACCACCCCACGTGGAACCAAGCAATAAGGATGACACTGAGCTGAGGGGCTGCGGCAGAAGGACAGTCAGGGGCTGCCTGTCATTCAAGGGACAAAACCTGCCAAGTAGGGGTGCTGGGGAAGAGGCAGCTGCAGTGGACAGAGCACAAGCAGTCCCATCACACATGTCACCTGGGACCTGTGTGAAGCCCCAGAACCAAACTCAGCGGGGTGGGGGTGGGGGGTGCTTTCCTGCTTCAGAGGCCGCAGGCGTTTTGCCCTCCTCTGCCTCGTCACCTGCTGCAAGCCTCGGGATGCTGGGAGGGCCCCTGTCACCCTGCACCCACCTCCTAGAGAAGCCTTGGAATCCCCGGATGAGGCCCATTCACGCGCCCCCTGCTTCCCCACTCAGCATGGGGCTCACCGCTGGGACCCACCTGGGTTCTCCTCTCTGTCTGGGAACTTAATCTGAACATTATAGTCCCGGGTAATCTGCTGGATTCTGGAACCTTTGGGGCCCATGACAGATCGATGGAACTTCTGGGGTATGGCACATTCTATGGTCACCTGGGCTTCCTGGGGGTGGGGGGTACGGGGCACAGCAAGAAAGGAAAAAATAAAGACAGACATTAACTGGTTAGGGTCAGTGCACATCCTCACCAGCCTCCACTCAGTCCTCCACGGACACCTCAACTGCTCCACATACAACAGGGTGGAGAGAGGAGGGCCGGGGGCCAGGACCAAACGGGACGCCTCTTTCTGACATATTTCCCAGACACAAGAAAGTACTGAAGACCCGTATGCACAAAATGGCATGAGGCTCGCTGCCGCCCAGAGCCAGGAGCACCACGGTCCTGTGTCTGACCCAGAGTCCCCGGCCTCCTGCAACATCACGCACTGTCCCTGAAGGGTGGCTACGTGAGCCAGTGACAGCGAATGCTGTGGCTGTGACTCCATGAGGAGGCATGGGGACTGCTGGTTGGGGAAATACTTTCCAGGTTGCAGCAGGAGAGCACCAGCAGGGACATGTTTCTGCGTGGATCTGCTCTGACAGGCCCTCCCCTTCCATCTCTTTTCTTCCCTTTGGAGACAAGAGGCTGGCTCCTTGTGCAGACTGCACTTCATCCCATGTTTTAAAAAGCTGTTGTTAGGAGAGGTATTTTCACCAACTGTCAGGATGAAGGCCAGAGGCTGAGAGCCCCAGCCTCACCAGAGGAGCCCACTGCAGGGCTCAGGGAGCCCCTTGGCCCTGGCTGTTGGGGCTAAGAGCCCCGTCGCCCTCCCAGGCACCTACCAGGTCCTCGATGATCTCCTGAATGCGCTTCTTGGCCGCCTCCACACAGTCCTTGGCACCCTTGAGGGTGACCTTATCGCTCTGTGTGCCCGAGCGTGGGAAGCTGACCATCACCCCACCATACTCTTCGGCAATCTCCCGCAAGACCTGGCCTCTTCGGATGACAAAATGGCGGTGGTGCTTGGGGTCCACCAACATGCAGTCTTCCACCACATTATCCTGCGCCACAGAGGGAGGGCAAAAATAAATGACCCTGCCAACCACGCCTGACAGGACAACCAAAGTGCAGCTCCCACTGGACCTTACCAGGTTCTGGATGAGGGCCTCCAGCTCCCTCTGGGCCTCCCTGACAGCGTCCTCCTTCCCTATGATGGTGATCAGGTCCTGGTCCTTGTCCTCGGCCGTTGGGAATATGATGCGGGCTCCCGTGTTGTCACGTACCTTGCGGATTTTGCCACCCCCTTTGCCAATAAGGAACTTGTGGTATTCTGGCTTTGCGCGGATGTCAACGGTAAAACTCTTGGTTTGCTGTGAAAACCAACCCCAGATACACTGGCCTGATGCTACCTGCCCAGTGCCCCGAGCAGGTGAGTAAGAGGGCCTTGAGAACAACGGCCTGTGACTATCAAGCCTCACCAAAACCAAGGGATGGATACCCAGACAGGAGTACTGACGGCTCCCTCCGCCGTCCAGACACTGAGATGGCTTGGAGCATGTGCGTTCCTAGCCCCAGTCCTGCCACTTACCAGCAGTGACCCAAGCCTGTAAGCTGCTCTCCACCTAGAGGGGACTAGGCAAGTACGGCCTCGGGGTGCTAGGGGACAAGGGGCGCACTTGCACAGCAGGTAAGCCCACGGGACCGCCAGCCCCACTCCCAGGCACGGCACTCTTACTCCTCCTGAAAGTCCAGAAGAGTGCTCCCCGTCCAGGCCCTCCTCTGCTTGGGCTACAGGGGAGCCCACACACCAACAGCAAGGCCCAGTCTCAGTCTTAGAGCCACCTAAGCCAACCAATGCCCTCACGTGACACCAAGAAGCCAGGCTCCAGCGAAGGCCCCGACATGATGACCTTGCTGAGGACGCCAGCCCCTCTGGCAGGTTCACTAGGAGCGCACATGCACCTCTAGGCTGACTTAGACACACACAATGCTGTCTCCTCACCTTCCCTGTATTCTGGAACCTGGCACACAAGCATGAAGAAACACAGAAGAAAAGAAGGTCTGCCAACATGCTAAACAGTAATAAGCAAATAAACTTCGTTATCTTTTAAATGCTGGTTTCTCAAACACCTCCAAGAGAATCTTCTAGTCTTCTGACCCAGACACTGGCAAATAGCAGCATTACTAAAAAGCTAATGAGCAACGAGGTAGGTGAGCCCAGCCCAGCAAAATGATGAAGGGTAGTACACCTAAACCAAGTAGGGCTCATCCCAGAAAAGCAAGGTTGGTTAAACTTCAAAGAACAAAAAACCCCACAAAGACCCTAAAAAAATCTAATAGGTATGCTTAAAAAAAAGAGAAACCACACTCTCGTGTCAACAGATACAGAGAAAGCCTCCTACAAAGTCCCACCCCCAATTCCTGCAGCAGCTCTCAGCAAACTTTTAACAGAAGGGAACTTCCTCAACCTGACAGCACCTTCGGAGACCCCTAGCTCACTTCCCACTCACTGGTGAAGGACTGAACACTCCCCACAAAGTTCGCCCATGAAGCATGGCCATCCCCTCTCACCACTGCTCCTCAACACCATACTGCAGGCCCAAGCGACATGGTAAGACCACACCTATAGTCATACGGATCAGCAAGGAAGAATTCCACTGTTCACAGATGATGTGTATTACACAGTAAGCTCACAAGAATCCATAAAAGAGTGTTACTAGAACTGGTAACTGAACTTTAAGCCAGATGCATAAAACAAAACCAATATAAAAATATCAGATATATTTCTATACGCTACAGTAACTGGAAATTAAAATGAATTAAAAAGTACCATTACAACAATGCTAAAAAGCAAAATAGTGAGGATTTAAAATGAATAAAATATGAATGAGACCCACATGTTAAAAACTACAAAACACCAATGAAAAATCAAAGACTTAAAACTCAAGAACGCAGCCTGAAAAACTCCAAACTCCTGAGCTGTTAGTTCTTCCCAATTTGATCCTTAGATTCAACATAGTCTCGTCCAAATCCAAGCAGGACTTCCCCCTAGAAACTGTTAAGCTGATTCCAAATGCACAGAGAAAGGCAAAGATGCACGATGGCCAGAGCAGTGTGACAAAGTGCAAAGCTGGAGGGCTCTGCCAGCCACCCTCCTTCCGGAGGCGCAGGAGCACAGCACGGTCCAGAAACAGACCCAACGTGGGCTCCACAAAGGGGCAAAGGTGACTCAATGCAGAATTTTAGGGGTGATGCCAAAACATTTTCATTGCGGTGGGGGTCACCTGACTGCTTATGTTCATCAAAACTCAAGTATGTGCTAAGAAAGGGATGTGTTATTGTCTATAAATCATACTTTAAAAAAAAGCCCAGGGGCTCCTGGGTAGCTCAATCTGGTTAAGCGTCTGCCCTCAGCTCAGGTCATGATCCCGGAGTTAAGGGATCGAGCCCTGAATCGAGCTCTCTACTCAGTGGGGAAGCCTGCTTCTCCTGCTTCCTCTGCTGCTCCCGTTGCTTGTGCTCGCTCAATCTTAAATAAATAAAATCTTAAAAAAAAAAAAACCCCAAAACCAAAAAAACCACTAAGGCAAACAGCAAATTCTCCATATTGTTTTAGTAGGCATTGGACCTACGAAGGCCCTTTGTTCAGCAGTGGCAAAATCAAAGACAAAAAAAAGGCGTCTGAAGCAATATTCTGACCTGCCACAATGGGGTGAGGATTTCTAGCAAGGGAGAGACGCAGTGCCGCCGTTCCTGGGCGTGAAACTCACCTTCTCCTCAGCCAAGTGCAGGAGCTGCTTTCTGGCCTTTTCCACGTCTGAGGCAGGGCCCCTGATGACAACCGTGTCACTTCCCGAGCCCTCCACCGGGAAGTGGATGTGCACCCCACCACACTCCTCCATGATGGAGCGGATCAAGCGGCCCTTCGTGCCGATGAGGGAGTTGTGCAGCTTGGCTGGAATCGAGACCTCCAGCTCGGCTATGTTGGCCTGAAATGACACAGTCTGTGAGGTGTGGGACACATGGCAGCATGCCCACTGCAGAGGGATCTGGAGCGCTTGTGAGTGTGGGTCCACACGTGAGGATGTGAAGGATGGGGTCTAAGCAGTTCACACGGCATAGAAGGAATGTCTCCATACCACACCATAAAGCAGAGACACAACCAAGATGCCCAGATTGTCGGCTTTTCCTATTAAAACTCTGTCTCCAGATTTACCTCCCATGAGAAACAACGGGGTTGAAGACACTGGAGACAGGAAGCAAGAAAGGTGAGCAGGACAATGGTCCCCTGGCTGAGTCCCCGCATCGAGGACACAGAGCTGACAGTCTGGGCAGACTAGGACTAGTGGAAACCCCATGAACTGGTGATAGCTCCCATGCCGACGTCACCAGGGGGAAGGGACTGTAGTGCACAGCACTGTCTATGCTCTAGGACACTGGGTACAGGAGGCCTCACCCCAGGACTTGGAACACCCAAGACCAGGCATGTGTCTTTAAGAGCAACTCCGAAAAGGAGCAAAGTAATTCATTAAAGTACATTAACAAAACTCGAAGACGTTGGAATGCAAGAATATCCAGCATCCATCCAAGTAGACTTCCTAACTTCTGGCATCCAACAGAAAAATACCAGACATTCAAAAAAATAGGAGAAACTCCTCCATGAGGAAAGAACAGAAAATAGCCCAGAAGTGAAAGAGACTTTAGAACCAGTGGGTTGGGAACATGACAACATTTTCACAACTGCAAACATGGTAAAAACAAAAACAAAGGAAACACTGGGCATGTCAAGTATAAAAACAAAATATTCTACCTCAACTTCTACAAGTGAAAATGTCTAAAATGAAAAACACACTAGATGGGATTACAGGCAGATTAGACATTACAGAAAATTAATGAATTTAAAGAAACTTCTCCTTTCCACCCACATACATAACATACCAGTGAATCAATCACAAGACCACCTCCAGCCCGCCTAGCTCCAAGGAACTGGAGTCCCCAGCGGGAAGGACAGAAAAAAAACTACTTAATAATGACTCCAGAGGCACCTGGGGGCACAGTCAGTTGAGCATCTGACTCTTCATTTTGGCTCAGGTCATGACCTTAGGGTCATGAGATCGAGCCCCACAGGCTCTACACTCGCCGGGGAGTCTGCTTGAGATTCTCTCTCTCCCTCTCCCTTTGCTCCTGCACATACTCTCTAAAAAAAATCAATAAATCAATAATGACCCCAGGTTCTCCACATATGATAACACTAAAATCTTTGGATCCCAGAAGCTCAGTGAACTCTAAGCAACATGAAAAAAGCACACCCAGACACGTGGTAACTTGCACAAGGCTTCTGCTTGTGATACAACTCTAAATACAGTCAGAGGAAGTCTGTGCAGAGGAGTAAGGCCAAGGAGGACCTCAGACGTGTCCTCAGAAACACCATGAAGGTCCTGAAGCAGAGTTCTAAGTCCTGAAGAAAACCTCCAGTCTGAGGTCTGCTACGGGGAGCACAGGAAGGCACAGGCTCACTGGAAGATGGTCTGGCACTTCATCCCCAAACTGAACACACTCTGACCGTAGGACCCGACTTACTATTTAATCCTGAATGCAGGAAGCCAGTGTGAAACAGCACAGTGTCGTGGGGCTGGGGACATGGCCATGGGGGCTCAGGTGATAAACGGGGGTTTGCAGCTTCTCAGGCTGCACTGCAATGGGCACAAGGTCACCTGGAGACAGGGCCCAAGTGCATGTGCACTAAAAACCCTACAACCACCACAAAAATGAAAGTTCTATGCAATAAGCCAAAAGAGGAGATGAGAGGAATAAGGGAATTCTCTTAAGTCCAAAAGCAGGTAGAAAAAGAGAACAAAGTAGACAGGACAAACAGAAAACAAACGCAAGACAGCTCAGTCGGACCACCATGACCAGGGGCAAGGCCTGCAGGTACAGCTTCTATTCAGGGTGGTGAGAAAGTGCGGCAGACGATGGTGGGACATAGCTGTGTGAACGCGCTCATGCCCCAGGCTGTACACGAAGGTGGTAAATTTTGTTATGTGTATTTTCCACAATTCTAAAAATAAAAAAATTGATATTTAATCACATTTACTAAACGTATAATAAAATATGTAACATAATACATGATACACAGATTAAGCATGGAATTAAATGTAAACATCTGCATTGAAAAGACAGACTGGGGAGCCTGGATAGCTTAGTCGGTTAAGGTCTGACTTTTGATTTTGGCTCCGGTCATGATCTCAGGGTTGTGAGCTCGTGCCCTGTGATGGACTCTGTACTTAGCACAGTCTGTTTATCCCTCGCCCACTGCTCCTCCCCCCACTCACTCTCTAAAAGCAAGCTGCCTAAAAGAAACCCACTTTGATGAGAAAAAACAGATTTCAGGACAATGACTACTATCAGGGGTAAAAGAAGGTAATTTTATAATGATATACGTTACAGGAATATCAGGAACGTGAAAGACACCAGCACAGTACAGGAAAATTATGAAAAACTTTATGCTAAAAACCTTGACAACCTAGGTAAAGTAAAAACCCCTTGAAAGAAAAGCTACCAATCTTAAGCGACAAGTAAGATGATCTGGGCATGCAGGGACCTATCACCCAGCAACAAAATCAAACTGACGGGACACCCGGGACAACACGGATACATCTCATCCCAGCTGCTCCAAGTGAGCACAGCTTGAGCTGTGGGAGCAAACACCATGATCTCCTTTGTACAAGTGTGCAGCAAACCCCACAATGCCCATGGCTGAAAGCCAACGAAGGGCTGGAAAGGCAGAGTGGGGGGGTTAGGGGGGGCTGCCCGGACAGAGGGAGGTGCTGGAGAGGGGCATGGGGACATCTCCAGGGTGCTAGATAGGCTCATTATGCTGACTGTGGAGAGTCCATGCATATATAACATAGGTCAAAACTTATCAAACTGCATACTTCAAACATGCAGCTTCTTAATGTTTATTTTCCAAAAATTGAAAAAAAAGAAAAAGATTGTTACGCCTTCAGGACAGGATGATTTCCAAGCACTCAAATCCAGTGCTACTGCTCAAGTCTCATGATAAGCACAGCCCCAGGTGAGTGGCAGAAGCCTGGCCACGGGCCTGCACTGCGTGGGAGAGCTGATGAGACGGACCATGGGGACCCTGGCGCATGCCCTGACACACAACACCCCATTACCAGGTCTTTCTGGATGGACAGGATGCGGCTCCGGGCAGCCTCACAGTTGGCTCGCTTGCCTGTGATGACAATGGTCTCTGAATTGCTATTCTCTGCTGGAAGGTCGATCTTAGTGTTGCTTTCTTCCCGAATCTACAAGGAGACGGGACCATGAGAAGGGACCCCCCCAGTTGAGACACACCCGGAACCCAGGGCCAGAAAGTTTAAGCCAGAATGGCACAGGGCTTTGGGAGCCAAGATTCAGGAGACAAGCTGGCTGATCACCTTTTTAATGTTTGCGCCTCCTTTCCCAATGATGTTCTTGTGAAATTGTTTGAAGATCGGAACAGAAATTGAATAGCTATTTTCCACCTTAAAAACAAAAGAGGTTGCACCATTAGCCATCATGCTGGACAGTGACGTGTCCCTTCATCTGCGAGGGAGTATTAAAAATGACAGAATCTGCTATTAGAAAACATACAACTTGGATCCTGCCTGTCTCCCACTAGGACCTCTGACCTTTAGCTGGGGGACAAGCTAACCTGGCAAGCCACAGCTGACTGATGCAATGCCCCCTTTATAAAAAGTAGCTCTCCACAGAACCTGCCACGTGGTCAGTGCAAGTTCCATAACCCAGAAGCAATGTGTCGGGCACCCTCAACAGACACTCTGGGTAGAGAAGGGAATCCTGGACACCAGGCTGAGAGAAGCAAGCCCAGAGCACACAGACCCTGCCACTCCTAGCCTGCACCACGCTGTGGCAGTGTGAACGAGCTCTGTGCTGGAAACGCCCCCATCAGCAACCTGAGGCAGTGGTGAGCTCAGTGCAAGCCCCATGAGAAACACAGAAGCATGAGCCCATCTTCAGCCTTCCCGTCAATAACCCCCCTCCGCACTTTAAACTGCTGGTTTCCATTCCAGCTTAAGGAAATAGCAAATCAGTAAATGGCTTCCCATACTGCCTATGCAATCTCTTTCCTCACTGGATGGGACAGTTTATCCAGCTTTCTTCTTCTCCTTCTATTTTTTTTTTTAAATTTTATTTATTTGAGAGAGAGAGAGAAAATAAGCAGGGGGTGGGTCAGAGGGAGAAGCAGACTCCCTGTTCAGCAGGAAGCCCAATGTGAGACTCGATCCCAGGACTCCAGGATCATGACCTGAGCCGAAGGCAGTCGCTTAACCAGCTGGGCCACCTAGGCGCTCCAAGTTTATCCAGATTTCTAGAGGTCCCTCAAGGAAACAAGCAGCCTGGCACCCCGTTTGAAACTCATGTAACACTGAAGTTCCTAATAGGTGTCGGCCAGTCTAAACACCTGCAGTTAAGACGGACGGCGCCCCCCCGCCCCTGTCGAGGGCAGACCAAGCCAATGCCCCCCGAAGCAGGGGTTCTGATGGGACACACCCCCGGGTCTCTCTGCCACCAGCAGCGCCATCATAACAAAGGATGGGAAACATCCCCTACCAGATCTGCCACCATCTTCTGCATGTATTTTGTGCATTTTTCCACCTCATTCTTCGGCCCTCGGAGTTGAACAATATCACTTTTTTGTGCTGGGTCTGGAAAGTTGATGATAACCTGGAACAAATCATCACAAATTCAAGTTCAATTATTGGTAAAGACTGGATTCTAAAATACTGACTCTCTTTAAGGACCAATCAATCACTCCTAGAGGGCTGAAGAATGCCGTTGGGAAACCTTTACCTCTGGGAATTTGTCACGAATTTCACGGATCCGTTCACCCTTCTGCCCGATGATTGTGCGATGGAATCTCTGCTCAATGATCAGATCCTTGGTGCGCTCATTTTCCTAAAAACACAATGCAAGGAGACACTAGAGCAGGAGGCTCCTGGGAGCCCGGGGAGCACAGCACCGGTCTGTGGCATCCCTGGGAGTCACCAGCCACTAGAGGACACCTGCTCTCTCCAACAACAGGGTTGTGTGTTGTTCTCCACAAGGAGGTGTGATTCAGCAGGTGGCCTTCGTCACCACAGCGGCTCACTTAGCGCCTCTATGTTGACAAGAACAAGAGACCATGAGGTGTAACACTCTGCAGGATGGGCAGGGATCCTTCCTGAACACAGCTTGGTTCAGAGCACTGCCCTGTGCAGATCATTATTAAGAAAGAATAATGAACTTGCATAGTTCTCATCATCCCTCAGGTCTCACTAAAATGTCACAATAAATACAAAAGCAGTAGCAGAGCCAGAATAAAGGAAAACACACTACCAGCCAACCGTCTGAAAGAACTCAGGGGAGATTCTGCATCAGACTGGCATCAGGCTGACAGAGAAACAAGGGTTCAGGAGTCCAACACAGGCACAAGACACCCCAGACCAAGGGGCCCTGGCCAGACAAAGGCCGCACCTGCTAGCTTGCAGCTGAGGACAGGGGAAAGCCTACTGTCAGAAGTGGGCCTCAGGGGGCTCCAGGCTTGGGCACCGGTGCCAGTAGAGGTGGGGGACTCACTCCTTGCCCCGATGAGCCACATGCATTGCCCTGCCTGAGGCTTTACTGACTTTCTGCACGTGTCTGTGCTAAGCTACGATCACTCACCCAGTAGGTAACTCTGGATTCTGAAAGGCACCCCAGTGACCCCTACATGCAGCCAGACTGGAGAATCACTGCTACATGGTTATCTGCATCTGACTCACACATTCCAGAAAAACACACCAGTGCTGGCAGCTTAGCCCCGGGAACAGGACCCATGCCCCCCTCTCCTCCAACCCTCAGAGTTGCAGACAACCACACAGCAGAATTTTCAACCTTAGCTGCACGTGAGAGTCACTTGGGTGCTTTTCAGAATTGGTCCCTCAAGCATCAGAGACTCGGATTTGGCCAAGGCAGAAACCCCTGCTGCAGAGCCACTCCCAAGCGGGTGATTCCCCTTCTGCAGCACTGCGGGTGAGAACAATGCTAGTCCGCAGAGGCCCCGACACAGGTCCGCGGGCTCCTCCCCAGCAGGACCCAGCTGCAGGTCTTACCATCCGAGAGGCGAGCTCCAGCAGCTCCCGCTTGGCCTGCTGTACACCCTGCGGGTCCCCCTCAATGCGAATCAGGTTGCTCTTCTCACTGTCAGGAGGGATGCGCACGGACACCTTATACTGGTCTTTGATTCTGTTTACTTAAGGATACAAAAGGAAACACATTTTGGACTCAGAATCTACTAAGTTCTGTCAGTGACTACAACCTGGCAGAATAGGCCAAACCACCTCATCAGCCATCCTGCGAAGAGGGAGACGAAGCCACCATACCAAGAACTCTCCGTTCTCTCAGACGAACTGTGTCTGCACCTAGACCAACCGAGTCAGCATCACCCCGACAGCGTCATGTGACTGACGGCTGGGGCCTCTCAGGCCATGAGGGCTCGCTGCTCTGGGCTATGGCTGGGGCTTCAGAATACTTTAAAGACCACAGCTGCTTTTTTTTTTTTTTTACTTTGGATCTTTTACTCATGTATTGATGACTTGGAAAATGATAGTTTACTAAAATATGCAGTTGACACATTTGATTATGTGGTATCAGAAAAGTTACATTCACTGTTAACTACTATTTTCACCAAGAGCGTCGTGAAATATTAGAAAGCTTTTTTAAATTTAAACTCAATTAATTAACACATTCTGTATTATTAATTTCAGAGGTAGAGTTCAGTGATTCATCAGTCTTATGCAACAGCTAGTGCTCATTCCATCACGGGCCCCCCTACATGCATCACCCAGTTACCCCATTCGCCCACCCTCCTCAACGACAACCCTTAATTTGTTTCCTATGATTATGAGTCTGTTATGGTGATTTTTCCCTCCTTCCTCTATGATCCTGTTTTGTTTCTTAAGTTCCACATAGGAGTAAGATCATACAATTGTCTTTCTCCAATTGACTTACTTCACTTAGAATAACACCCTCTAGTTCCATTCACATTGTTGCAAATGGCAAATTTCACTTTTTTGATGGCTGAGTAATATTCCATTGTGTGTGTGTGTGTACACAACTTTTTCTTCATTCATCTGTTGATGGACATCTGGGCTCTTTTCATAGTTTGGCTGTTGCGGACACTGCTGCTCTAGACATTGGGATGCAGGTGCCCCTCAGATGACTCTGTTTGTATCCTTTGGATAAAAACCTAAGTAGCTCAACTGCTGGGTTGTAGAGTAGCTCTATAATAGTTCTTGAGGAACCTCCATCCGGTTTTCCACAGCAGCTGCACCAGTTTGCATTCGCACCAACAGTGTAACAGGGTTCCCCTTTTTCCGAATCCTCGCTAGCATCTGTTGTTCTGACTGGTATGAGGTCACTGTGGTTTTGATTTTTATTTCTCTGATGCCACATAATGTTGAGCATCTTTTCACGTGTCTGCTGGCTATTTGTATGTTGTCTTTTTTAAGATTTTATTTCTTTAAGGGAGAGAGAGAGAGTGAGAGCCCGAATGGCGGCCAAGGCGGAGGGAGAAGGAGAAGCAGACTCTTCACTGAGCAGGGAGCCCGATGTGGCGCTCAGTCCCAGGATCCTGAGATGATGATCTGAGCCGAAGGCAGAGGCTTAACTGACTGAGCCACCCAGGAACCCCAGCCATTTGTATGTTTTCTTTGGAGAAATATGTGTTCATGCTCTGCCCATTTCCTGACTGGATTATTTTGGTGTTGAGTTTAAGTTCTTTATAGATTTTTGGATACCTTATCTGATATGGCATTTACAAATATCTTCCCCCATTCTGTTGGTCATCTTTTGGTTTTGTGAACTGTTTTCCTTTGCTGGACAGAAGCTTTTTGTCTTGACGAAGTCCCAAAAGTTCATTTTTGCCTTTGAAGATGTGTCTAGTGAAAAGTCACCTCGGTCGATGCTAAAGAGGTCGCTGCCTGTGTTCTCCTCAGGGATTTTAATGGGTGCCTGCCTCACATTTAGGTCTTTCATCATTTTGAGTCTATTTTTGTGTGTGGTGTAAGGAAATGGTCCAGTTTCATATTTCTGCATGTGGCTGTCCAATTATCCCAGCACCATTTGTTGAAGAGACTCTTTTCCATTGGACATTCTTTCCTGCTTTGTCGAAGATTAGTTGGCCATATAGCCGACGGTCCATGTCTGGGTTCTCTATTCTGTTCCACTGATAAAGATCCCAGGTGTTTCTAATGTGGAAGCAAGTCTGGGAACTGAACCACTGTTCTTAGGTCACAAAATTACTCTCAAAAAAACAAAAATAGAAACCACTAAAAATCAGAAGGCTTTACATTAACTAAAAACAAGAGTACCCCAATGACCACCTTAGGGGTCCATGGAGGCCATACATTGTTGCGTAGAGAAAGTACCCCATCAGCTCAGATCCAAATTGAGCGCTTCCCTGTCTCTGCAAAACATATGGAGTTCTGTCACCTACTTTGGACAAAGGCCACGCTCCCACACCCTGGGGAGGCCTTATCCCAGGAAACAAGACCAGCACTTTGCCCAAACTCCATAGGGGCCACCGAGGAGCAGCGTGAGCAAATGCAGAGACAACCGGAGCCAAGGACTCAGAAGCCAGGCTGGAGACTTCAGACCATGAAAGGGGGTAGGGGATGAAAGCAAAAACAGACCAGACATAACGTGAACCACCCTGGTGGTCTCATACTCCTAGAGAGCAGACACCAGAAATGAACGTCAGAACTGCACTTCCTTATGTTCTTAAAAAAAAAAGATACTGTACCATTAATCAAAACAAAAACAAACAAAAGCAAGTTACAGTGTGTGCATGGCTCGAGGAACATGTGCAAGGAACACCACAGGGAGCTTCCATGGACTCTGTGTCCGTGGACTGTCACTACCATTGTGGAAAGTCCCTGGGCACACAGAACTGACAACAAATACAGCAGAGCTGACAAGTTCACACTAACTATGAACACAAACTGGATGACATCAGGCAAAAACTGAAGGGGACACACTTGCAGGGCACCCTGTCTGCACAGGTGGGTTCTCTGCAACCGCAGGAAGGACCCAGACCCGCCACGCGCTACCCTCTCACCATTGGCTGCCGGTGAGGCGCAGGAACCGGGAGCACACTGTGATGTTGGGGGTGGCCTCACAGGCGAGCTGGGCCCAGGTGTGGGATTTCAGAAAACGTTCTCCATCTGGGCAAATTGTTCACTCAGCCCACTTCCTGCAAACTGCATTCACACCCCTAGTCCAGCTCAACTGGGCTACAGCCTTACTATGTGTACCAAAAGGCACGCCCGTGAGCCCCGACCTTTCCTACTCCTGGGGTGGCCCCACCAGGGCCCTGTCTGTGCACCACTGAGTCCATGGGGACTGCGAAGCCCAGATGTGACCCCATCGGGCTTAGGTGCGCCTTCACCGTGGCCTCTGACCAGGTTGGTTAAGGTCCCAGGTCTGCAGACCAACTACAGCCTGAGGAGAAGACTAGGACACCCAGTCAGAATGCATGACTTTCTCCCACCACGGTTACCCTCCGTGCCATCAGTCCCACTCACTGTTGGCCCCGCTCTTCCCGATGAGGTGTCTGTGGAACTTGTGGTCCACGTTGATTTCCACGTAGTCCATCCGGTTAATCTGCAGGAAAACAGAACGAGTCCAGAGATAAGCTCTCGAGGCCATGGCGTGTGCCATGGTCATAGACACATCACCAGAGCCCAAGTCCATGAGCTGACAGCTCTTGCCTTTGTCACCTTAGGTCATTATTCCAAGACTGTCCTTCTGGCCCCCTTGAAAGACCTATCTGTGACCTTCCTGGACTTTGCCAGCTTCTATTTCAGAGCCCAGTGCTTACCCCAGATGTCCCCAGGCCCACCCACCCACATGATGTGTGACAGGCAAACAAGGATATCCTGGCTAAGCCCCGGGTTCAGCAGCACCCAGAACATGCAAAGGGGCACCTTACCAAGTCTTTGACCATGGCTTCGATCTGTTCCTGGGCCACGTTTACATCCTCTGTGGGGCCTTCCAGGGTGATCTTGTCCTCACCCTCTGTGAACTCGATGTGCACCTATCACAGCAGAATCAGGAAAGAGATGGTCAGGATGGCACAGTGGCAGTACCCTCTCAGAACCTGTGGAACTTCGCTGAGGCAGCAGCCAATCCCAACTGCTTTATGTAAACACATGTCCACAACCCCCCCTGGAATACTGAAGGGGGAGGCTGGGGGATGCCTATTACTCTGGTCTAAATATCGTGGCCTAATCCTCTTCCTGTCACCAGATATGGGAACTGTGATATCCTCCACGATGTACCTAACAGCAAAACCACAGACTGAAAGCACATCAGTACCAACTGCCCCCATCATTCCCAATACCACTTTTATTGTTACAGGCCCATTCTTCTTTAATTTTTAAGAGCGAGAGAGACCATGTGTGTGCCTGCATGTGCACAAGTGGGGGGGGCAGAGGAAGAGGAAGAGAGAGTCTCAAGCAGCTCAGCACAGAGTCCAATGAGGGGTTTGATCCCACCACCCTGAGATCACGACCTGAGCTGAAATTAATAGTTGGACGTTCAACTGACTGAGCCACTCAGGCACTCCCAGGGCCACTCTTCTCTGCTCGAGTAAGAAATGAGATAAACAACAGGGATGGAATTTTAACTCATGTATAGCTGCCCAGGGATGGTCCACAGGCAAGGCAGCTCTGTCCTCATTTATAACACACCAGGCAAGAAGGCAACAGGGGACAAGGGCAGTAGGGGAGAGCAGCCCCATGAAGCCACTGCATCTGTGTGAGCCAGAGCTCAGAGGCTAGGAAAGCAAAAGGACTAAGAAGTCAGTTGGAAACGAAGTGTGAACAGGACGACAGTAGAGGGGATATGTTCTCTGGCAAGCCATCCTGTGCACGTTCAATGGGAGCTGCGGTGATCTCTGGAAAAGTGGGAAGACGTCAAGGACAGAGATGGAAAGCATGAAGAGGCCGTCACTCCAAGCCTCACACGAGCTGAGCACACGTGTGCTCTTCCGAGAGCACAGATGGAACTGTGTGCAAGTTACTGTGCTGTGACAGACAAGGGAGACGTCTGCTAAGGTAGTCATGAAATCAAGCAAGATACACAGTCTCTGGGTAAAAGAACCAAAAGAATGACAGAGTATTTTTAAAAATTTATTTTGTTCCTCCTCAGCTAACCGTGGAAACTGTCACACACACAATGTGCCACGATCTCCAGGGCCATCTCTAGAATAAACAGCAAGAAAACAAATGTCAGAAGGGGAAGGACAAAAGCAAGAACTCAGAGTCACAAATTCCCAATGCCTCCTCACCTTGGGCATCTGCTGAGTGATTTTGGCCAGATTCTGCCCCTTTTTGCCGATGATGAACCGGTGTAGCCAGGAAGGAGCAGAGACAGATGACACAGTAAAACTGTTGGCCTAGGAAACCAGGAAGCAGAGTGGTGGGCTGTGCAGCCTGGGCTCCATGCTCGCGCTCCCCGCCCGACACGGTCCCTGCTCCCGGGGCCCGGAAACGCGATTCAAGAGGCCGGCCCCACAAGAAGCAGCTAGGATCCACTCCTGAAGTCAGTTACCTTGGCATAGACCTCAGTCAGTGCCTGCCCTAGCTTTTCAGGCTCGCCTCGAAGTATCACAGTCTCCGAGATGCTGTCTGACGGTGGGATCTCCACAGAAACTCCCGTTCTTTCCAGGATCTCCTGTAAGGAATTGCCCTTCGGCCCGATGACATACTTGTGCTGGGATTTCTTCACCTCCACGGCGATGGTTGTGGTCTTCTTTTTCTAAGGAAGAGCACCATAAGGGCATCAGAGAGAAGGGCCAGGGAGGAACAGGTGGGGACAGAACGCTGTCACCAAAAAGGGAGGGAGCAAGCGCAGAGCCCTAGACTACATACACTCTGTGAGCCCCAGCAAGTGAAGATGGGGAAAAGCCCACTCCCCAGAAACTCCACTGAGCAAGGAGAACTGGGTTTTCTCCCCATGAGAATCACCAGAGAATTTAAGTCCCGCCCAGACTGACCCCAGGTTCCATCCACACCTCCGAGAAAAAGGCTGGGATTTCACAGCCCACCAGGGTGAGGCGAACCACTAGCTCAGAGACACGGCCAGCTCTGTGCTGCAGGCCTGCCATAGCCCGGCCATCCAGCTCAGAGCTCCAGCCTCTCTTCCCTGCCCAGCAGCACTCCATCCTAACTGACCGGAAACCGAACTTGTCTGGACACAAGAGGCTAGGGGTGGAGCTGGGCCTAGGCCACACCTCTGCGTGACCACCCTACATGCTCTTCCCAACCGCTACCTTCTCCTCGTAGATCTTCTTGATTCGAGCCACAGCCTGAGCCAACTGCTCCTTCTCTCCCGTGAAGACGATTTCTGTCCGGTTGACACTGGGTGGGGGGATGTTGATGCGTGTTCCTGTCTCCTGCATGATCTCGCCAACAAGTCGGTTATATGGCCCAGCGATGAAGGGATGGAACGCCTTCTCCACTTCCAGCCTCTCAACAGCACGTTTGTCCTGGGAAGGATAGAACCATGAGGGTGTGGCTCTGGGGCTAAGGCCAGTGCACACACCCCAACCTCTCAGCTGGCCCTACCTGCTCAGCAGAGATGAGTAGGACTTCATGGCGAGCTTTCTCGATGCCTTCTTTGGTACCGGTGATCCTGATCTGATTGCTGGCGTCGTCTGGGCGTGGGATCTGGATTTTGGTTGCAGTTTTGAGCTCCAAGTCTTGCAGTTTCTCTCCATTTTTGCCAATAACAAAGCGGTGGTGTTCTTTGGGAATGGCTACAGTCGCTGAGGCCTACAACAGGAAGAGAACCAAAGAACGTTGATGTCTGTAGGTTACGAAAAAGCCTATTTCTCCACAATATTCTCTCCGGCTGAAATGCCATTCCTGCCTAGCCAGCCCCCAATCCGTCCCTCAGAACAGTCTCGAGTTAACATCATGTTCTTGGGGAAGCTTAACCAGACCCCAAGGCTAAGGAAAGTTCAAGTGTGATACATTCCCATGGTCCCATGTCACACCTTCAGCTGTCTTAATTATTTAGGGGTAATTATTTGTTCAACATCTTCTCGGCCCTCTAAGCCATCATAAGAACAGGAATATTCAGGAATGCTAATCTGTCTTATTTTCCACTTTGATGATTGCTAACACCATCCTAGGACGAGACAGGAAAGCAGGTACATATTGACTAACCAGACTGATTTGTTTCTGGAGGCCCAGGCTATTTTTCCCCCCAACCATAAGCCCTATAACCCATAATAAACTTTTTTCTATCTCTTTTACCACCAGTTTAAAATAGATAACCTGTCTGAGGAAATAAAATAGAAATAATCCGGGGCGCCTGGGTGGCTCAGTGGGTTAAGCCGCTGCCTTCGGCTCAGGTCATGATCTCAGAGTCCTGGGATCGAGCCCCGCATCGGGCTCTCTCAGCAGGGAGCCTGCTTCCTCCTCTCTCTGCCTGCCTCTCTGCCTGCTTGTGATCTCTCTGTCAAATAAATAAATAAAATCTTTAAAAAAAAAAAAAAAAATAGAAATAATCCAAAGCGTTCATCCAGTGAGTCCAAATGCTAGAAATCAAGCAACTTTCTGAGGTGACAGAGAGCAAGGAGGACAGGGGCTCCTAGTCTTCCTGACTGTGTGCAGACAGTAGCTGCCAAGAAGACTTAAGAAGGGGAAGTGTCAACACTCCCACCACCGGTGAAGCAGACTCACAGACCAGTCAGGGGGATAAGCTTATAGCAGACCACTTAACACTCAAAACAAAAATGTTAAATTGTTTCACAGAGGCAATAAAAAAGGTCCTCACTTCCCAACTAGCGCAGAAAGACCCAGCAACTCATACATTCTGTTCGAGTAACATTTACTCCCAAAGTGGTTCGATATTAGGTAATCAGTGTTACACATGAGAAGAATCAAGTGACTGCCTCCACAGAATTTAAATCTAGTCATGATTAAAAATGTGTAAAGAAAATAAAAACGTTATTTTTTTTAATGTGACAAACATACACACCCAGCTAGGCCTGTACTCGGAGCTGTGCTTGAGGGGAGAGCCTGCTGAGGGTGGACCCACATAGAACATGGCCCCATGGAAGGACACCCAAGGAAGCAAAGGAGGCACAAAGATGGGACAAGAACACAGGCCTGCACCCCTGGGAACGCACAACTTTTTAAAACTTCTGAGGTATGTAACAGGGAGAAGAGAACTAGAATCCAGCATCAACAACTTTAACTTAAACTAACAGTAACCACTTGGAAGATGTAATGGGAAAGAATGGCCATCCCAACAGGGAAAAAGAGACAGAGAGACAAAGTAGCTAGACACAACCCAACAAAAGAGGTGGGACATGTGCATGAGAAATCACAAAACACTCAAGAGATCTAATGCAGTTCTGATCAAAAAGTAGCTTATGAAGTCTGTATGGTGGAACGACCAAGAATGGGACAGGAAAAACCTGCAAAAGGACAGTACGGGAGGAATGGTGACAACTGTACTAAATATAAGACTACTTCCCTTAGAACAGAACACTAGTGCACAGAGAGGCAGACCAACACTTTAGAACCGAAAACCCACGCAAAGAACAGAGCACACTTCGTAAAAACAGCCAATCAAATCACGGGGTGGGGAAAACTTAAAACTGGTGTTGGCAACCTAATAGATGTCTGGAGAAGGACGAAAGTGGGTCTGCACCTTGCACTGTTCCAGAGAAATCCCAAACTCATCAGGAACTGAAACGGAAGAGCCCCCCTTCCAGGCACCAAAGAAAAGATGAGATTTCTTACAACCTGGAAGTGAAAAAATTTTCCTAATAAGGACTCAAAAGAACAAAAAGAGTAATGGAATTTGACTACCATAGAATAAAAAGTCATACAGCAAACACACCAAGATCAAAAACAAATCGCGAAGTGGGAAACGTGGTCTATAAGGTGCAGGGTTTTTAAGGACCCAACTACACCAAGCAAGGTGGAGGCCTCTACCTCTGATGGAAAAGGTAGAGGCCTCCACCACTGTCCAAAGACAGTGCACAAAACAAAACCCAGAGTCCTTAAATATTAAAAAGACACTCAATCTTGTTCATTTGAAAAGTCCAAAATAAAAGTATACTCAGCTACCTTCCAGAATGACAAAAGCCCAAGCTTTTAATGGGTGTGGCAAGGCGGTGGGGGAGGCCCTGGAAAGTGCAGACAATGGGCAGCACCTGAGGGACAGGCCCACAGCTACTCACAGTTACTTATGTGTGCTGCTCCCTGACCCAGCCATCTCACTGCTAGGAAATGGATCTTGAGACACAACGGATGAAATAGGAAATCCCACACACGCAAGGTTTTTATTGAGACACGATGTGTAAAAGAAAAGTCGGGAAGGAACTCAAATGGAAATGCCTTCAGGACTTCAACAGGAAGGCTTGAATAAATCCCACCACATCTGCTGAGCATCTCGCAGCTGTACAAAGGAAGGAGCAGAGCCACTATTTGCTGATACGTAGACATCTCCAGAAAATATGTAGGAAAAGACAAGGTGCAGAACAGGGTTTACTACGGCAAGTCATCTTCTGCTTCTACTCTCCAACCGGAACAAGAGAAGGGTCCATCAAAGACGATGAATGGCCAGCTGGCAGGGGAGGGAAGGACAGGGTGCAGAGGCGATCTCTGACTGAACCTTATTATACCACTCTTTGTACCAACCTAACTATATCTCAAGATGACAGTATGCATTCCTTCTAGTGATTTTAAAATTCCATCTTTCGGGGACACCTGGGTGGCTCAGTTGGTTGAGCGACTGCCTTCAACTCAGGTCATGATCCTGGAGTTCCGGGATTGAGCCCTGCATCGGGCTCCCTGTTTGTTTGTTTCTCCCTCTGCCCTTCCCCCTCTCATGCTCACTCTCTCTCAAATAAATAAAATCTTAAAAAAATAAAAACCTTTAAAAAAACTCCATCTTTCATCTTCTTTAGAACTATCAGTTTGAACTCATGCGGTAGGTGAAGAGTTCCACATTAGGTCTGTGGCCATGATCAGCCCGGCACTCTCCATATTAGAGATTAGGAACTGGGGAACATGAATGGTCACCCCAGAAAGCTGCAGGGTGCCAACCAAATGGGGTCCCACTGTCCAAAGATGATGCAATTTCACCTTAACAACTAATCAATATATCAAAAAGTTTATAATGACACAAAGAAGGATTCACGGATCCCCGGCAGAGATGCTGCAGCGCCAACGCAGTCCCAACACTGACTGAGCAGCCAGTGGAGGCCAGCTCATCACAAGGACAGCAACCAGTGTGGGGCAGGGGCCAGAGAGCTGCCATCCACACTGCAGTGAATTGTGGAGATGATATAACCTCTAGACAAAAGAATAATCAAGAACTTTATTCATGGATGGATTTGCTGAAGACTCCTGAGTCTAGGGATCCATCTGGGAATCAACAGCAATTACACAGGACCACCCACAAGTTCTCCTGCCAGACAAGTAAGCTGAACGTCAAAGTAACCACCGGGATATAACCACCACTTCACAGGCAACAGTGATGGACAGTGAGACAAAGCAAACACCTGCTTGTCCCCAAAAATCAAAGGCATTAAGAAAAGGAGGGGAGGGCACTGCCGAGGAACAGAAGAGGGCATGAGCCCCAACACACACAGCAGGCAGGCCTTGTTTGGATGCCGATTTAAACACGTCAACTCAGAAAGACATCTGGAGATAATGAGGGAAGTCCATACACAGACCATGTTAAATATGGGTATACGTCCAGAAATTACTATTAATTTTAATAAGTGAGTTAACAGTCCGGTAGGTTATTTAAACAAAACAAAACAAAACAAAAACAACAAAAAAACCCCAAAAAATATAGGGGCGCCTGGGTGGATCAGTCGGTTAAGCGTCTGTCTTTGGTTCAGGTCATGATCTCAGGGCCCTGGGTCCTGATCCAGTCCCACAACTGGACTTCCTGCTCAGTAGTGAGTCTGCTTCTCCCTCTCCCTCTGTGCTCTCTCAAATAAATAAAAATCTTAAAAAAAAAAAGTGGGGGCACACGGAATGATTTACAAGTGAATAACATATCCGCAATCTGCTTTAAAGTAATGGCAGCGGATGTGTGGGGGTGCAGAGAGTGGAGTGGTTCAGGTCTCCTCCCTGCCTAGTTTTCAATCGCAAAATACTCAAATATTCACCAACCAGTAAACAGCAAAAGCCTGAGAGCTTACTGCTATGCACTAGCCACAACATGAAGCAATTGACACACATTTTCAACTACTTCCACTTAATCATCTCATTCCCTGAAGCTACTGAGGGGATTAGGGACTGTCCCAAGGCCCTGTGTGGCTGAGGGAGAGAGAGCTTGGACAGCACAGGGCAAATCCTGTCCTCCCTGCTGAGCCCCTGGCTCCTGACCCACAGTGCCCTACCTTCTAGCCACCATATTCTAGAGCTGCTCCCCAGTGAGCTCACAGACTCTGGGGAGGACCCCCACTTTTTTTTTTTTTTTTTTTGGAAGTTGTATTTTAAAGTAATCTCTACCCAACGGAGGGCTCAAACTTCCAACCCCAAAATCAAAAGTTGTACTCAGTATACTGACTGAACCAGACAGGCACCCCCTGGACCTCCGTTTCTAAGTAAACCCAACTAAAGCTGTATCTGTTCAATGAAACATTTTTTTAAACTTTAAAAAAAGTCACTTATTTTAGAGAGTGAGGGAGAGAGAAAAAGCACGCGCATGTATGTGTGCCAGGGGACGGACGGAGGGAGAGAAAATCCCAAGCGGACTCTGCGCCAACCACAGAGCCCAACACGGGGCTTGATCTTAACAACCTCAAGATCACGCCCTGAGCTAAAATCAGGAGTCAACGCTCAACCGACTGCGCCACCCAGGCACCCATCACTGACATCTGAGTAAGATTCTCTGCGTTTACCTTGATCTTTAAATGATGCCGTGTGGAGAAACACATCACAGGTTTACTTACTTATTACAACAGTCCCCCAGTAAATTTCAAGTAGTGCTATCAGACTGCTAAGGACTACGGAAACTGGTTGAAAACAAATAACATTTGAACTTGTACTCTCCCGAGATAGGACCTGGAAATGCATATTTAAGCAGCAATGGGGTGACTCTTGAGCCTCGCCCTGGGAATGAGTGACTTGTGGTGGTGTCCTCATTCTACCATCCCACAACCCTGGCTTCTCTGAATGTCTCTGCCTCTGGGACAAGCCTTTATCTTTCAGTCTATTCGCCCAAATAGCAAAAATGGTTGGTGTCCTCACTTGTCACTGATTTAGTGTTTTTTCAGCTAAAAATGCTGGGAGGTCCCGAACATTGTTGCACTACCTCTAACTCTGGCCTTGAAGACCTGGGAGGGCAGGGTCTGATGAAACCAGAGCCGTACGTGTTGGAGCCAGTGGCACAGAACTGGAGTATGCCCACGAGGAGGACGGGGCTGACGAGACCCACCTGAGTCTGCAGTCTAGCGACAATGTCCTTCCGGGCTTTCATGACGGCGTCCAGCTTCCCTGACACCATGATGGAGAGGCCCTGGTCTTTGGCAAGAGACAGCTCCAGATGGGCACCAGTCCTCTGCATGATCTCCAAGCAGATTTTTGCTTGTTCACCTTCTCCAAACTGGTTCATGTCCTTGTATTTTCTCTCCTCCAGGGGTACATGGAACACCTACTCAGGAAAGGTCAAAAAGGGAAGGTGAAGACATCAAGAGATGAGAGGGCGTGTAAGGGTTTAGGCACTGAATATACAGAGTAAGGAGCCTGAGTTCACTCATCTCTATGTATCCCTGCTCCTCGCCCCTGCTCCAAGGCCAGAGAGACTGGGATGGAGAGGCAGGCAAAAAGCACCAAAGGGCAGGAGGCTGGCGCTCCAGCAAAGAGAATGACTCCCTGACACAGACAGCAAAGAAGCATCAGGTGGCAGTGAGTGCAGCGGAGGGAAGAGACGGGGAGGGGAGAGAGGCTGGGAGACAGGGAGACACAGAGAATCACCATACTCAGAGGTCAGCAAGAGCAAAAGGGTGAGGGCAACGAACAGGGGCAGGCGGGGAGCACTATGAGCACAGTGGGGTGCAGTCCAAGCAGGAAGAAAGGAAAGGGCTGGGTCCCTATGCCTCTTCTACAGCAAAAGGAGAAGGCAACGAAGCAGGGTTCAGGCAGAAGGATACAAGCTGACCGATGATCCAGTTTCGCTCCAGCTCTTCTGTGGAGGAGGGAGTGAGCAGAGGCAAGGGTGGAAGCAGGAGGAACCAAGATGACTCCTGCTCTTGGGTCTGAACCCCTATGTAGAACATGGTGCAGTTAACATGATCAGGAAGACTGAGGACACACCAGTCCAATCTTAGCCACCAGAATGGAAAGATCCAGGATGCAATCAGTTAAGAGTCTCAGGTTCAGTGAAGGGGACTTCTCAGCAAGTGGGTGGTAGATAATCGGCAACCACGACCCAACACGAGTACACACAGAGAAAAGTACTTTGCCTGCCAATATCCCATGCTAAGGTAGCAGATAGATGGGGTAATGAGATCAAAGCAAACCAAGAAAATGGGGTCAGGTACGCCAAAAGGAAAAGACTTGCTTTGACATGGTGGGAGAGAAAGCAGAGAAGACAGACAAGTTCTTGTTGGGGCTGGTGACGTGGAAAGCTCCTTCCAGCAACTGGGAGCAGAGACGGTTGCAGTGGACCTAAGAAACAACGGGACCTGTTCCTCTTGAGTGCTGGGACCAGACGGTAAAAATGAGCATGGACGGCTTCACAAGCAGTGGGGTCGGATCTACTCCGAAAGCCTCTCCCCTTACATGCCCCAAAGCCCGCTCATTCGTGTGTGTTCAGAACCCATTCCATCAGATGCTACCACTTCCTGCTTGGAGGAGCAGGTAAAGAAAAGAAAGGAGTTTCTACCTGAGTGATGACAGAAGCTTTGATGGGCCGGATCTTGTTACTCCAGGCGCCAGCAGGCTCCTGGGCATTTTCCAAGCAAGCTGATTTCTCCGGGAGTGGAGGAAAGGCATCTTTGTAGGTTGGGGGGTCGCTCTCCTCTTCTGAATTTAAAGTAGCAACTGGACCGGCCAACATGGATTAAAAGGAAATACAGTGCTTTCAACATTAGAAAAAAAAAAACACTTGGAGAGTTTTAATGTCAAGAAAGAAGAGAAACAACATTAATTGCTTGAGTGACACCCTGTACCCCAATCCCTTCATTCAGTGATGGGAAAGCAACCCAGGTGGTCCCTAAGCCCAGCGTGCCCTCAGGTTCAGCATGTGGCCTGGAGAAGTAGCCTTCTTATGAGCAGTCAGTTCAGACACTGGGGGCCCCACTCCTTTCCGAATGGGGTGAGCCCCTTGAAAACAGGCCTTACCACAAAGAATTTCAGCCCCAGACCCTGCTGATCCTGTACTTAAAAAATCACAACTATGACAATGCCTGGCACATAACCAGCCCTTCAGTTCGCAGAACAAGATAACGCTGCTGCTCAGCACTGCCCGTGGGGACCGCCTCTGAGGCCGACTCCAGCCGACTGCCCACCAGAGCACACGGTGCTGAAAATCACCCTTGTGGGAGCTGCCATCTCTGACCCCCGCCCCCTGCAAAGAGCAACAAGAGCAGTAAGCGCTTCCATCCCCCACAGTGCCCTGATCATTCACGGTTTTGTGTCCCATTAACCACAGCTCCGTGAAAACAGGAGAGGGACTGTTTTGGATCACCCCAAATGCCCCAGCAATGGCAGGGCTCAATAAAACCCACTGTGAATGGATGTGCCACAGAGCAGGGAGATAACCTTTGGAATCAGACAGGCCTGCGTCCATCTCGGGGTTCACCACTTCTAGCTGCATGGCTGTGCTATCCCAGGACACCAGTAAAGGCCTGGCGCTGACAAGCAGCTGGAGCCTGTCCAGAGCCTTGCTTCCCTCATCTAGAAATGCAGACTCTACAGGGCTGGTGCATCAGGTAGAAAGAGTACGTCTGGCAGGCACTCTGCACGATGTGGGCCTCCACTGCCCTAGAAATGAGCACTTGTAACACAGCCAGTGGGATGCACAAAGTGAATTTTTTATTTTAATTACACTTAACAACTGACTGTTGATTCAGTTAATCTACTTTCTCACCTGAAAATTTTAAATAATTTTACACACAGCTGAAAGATTATAGATGAAACTTTAGCATTCAAATCAAGCTATCCTGTTTTTGTAAATATGTACCAGATTTTGAAGGATTTTAGTTCAGCACACCTGGGGGACAGCAATTTTGAAAAACAATCTCATTTTAATGACCGAGGATCAAAATCACTGGCTTTCCAGAAAGGAAGTGGTCCACACTTCAAAACTTTCTGTACCCAGAAGTATCTGTCAGTCTGCCCAATTCCACCCTGCACAGAAGAGCCACGCAGGCAGTGCCAGTCGGAGCAGGGAAGAGGCGGGAGGCCAGGCTCCACCCCGCAGCTCCAGTCCCAAAAAGCACTTCTCAAAGGCCTTAAAGGTCTGACAAAGATTTGGAAGCAGCGGTGTCTCCAAATGGGAAGATGAGGACAAAAGGGCGTTCACCTTTCATCTGTTGCGGAACCAGCCCACTTCGGTGTTCAGCAAAGCTCTCTTGGGTCAAAACTGCAACGGAGCTCATGGTTGATCTCGCGCCTACGCACAATCCGGGTGAGCCACTGAAGCAGGAGGGAGGGTGGCAGAGACGAGAGTGTCAAGGCACAGCCAAACTGCGAGGCACAGAGTTTTAGCCAAAGGCTTCATCCTGTTTCACCAGCAAACCACACCGTTTTCTTCACTTACAACCTCTGATACAAGAGGATACCCAAATTTTCAGTAAATGAGGAAAGGAAAAATGCAAATGAAGGATGGTCCTTGGACAACTCTCTCCCCAAAGGTTATCCTCTATGTGAGGAGCCAGAGGCCCAAGCTGACAGCTCCAGTCCCATGATCTCTGGGGCTATAGAGACAGCCTGCAGATCAACCTCTGGAAGCTTTTGTTAACAGCCATCTCAGTTATTTTGTTCATCCACATGCCTCCTGATGCTTATAAAATACACCACAGGGCAGTGGCTACAAGAAGCAATCAGCCCACTTCTGTAAGGATAGCGGGCCCGGTCAGCAAGGCCCAGCGCACCGCACACCCTAGCAATGTCCACAGGCCCCAGGGCGCAAAGAGCAGTCTCTCAGCGCCCACTGGTGACACTGTAACAGCAAGGAGCAGGCGGTGAAGTGCCTGACAGGGGCTGGCTGGTTCTTGTCTGGATGTCCTAGCTCTCAGGGGTCAGAGTGGACCCAGAGCAGGTGGGACCCGGCCCAAGGGCACATAGTTCCTCAGTTCATGGAAAGCACCAAGCAGTCTCTGCCTCCAGACCCCACGCCTGAGGGCCGGGGTACGCAGTAGGACTCAGGCTCATGCAGGCAGGTGTGTTCACTTCCTCCCTTCAACTCTAGGTGAGCTCCAAGCTACTGTGATGAGGAGAAACCCACTCTTTCACGCCATTATGCGCCAAGTGTCTTTCTCCACCACCATGGCAAAGCATAAGAGAGCTAAATGATGTAATGAGAGCTTTTGCGTACTTTTCACAGCTCTGTGAGACCTTGTTCCAAGTTCAAGAAAATTAAGCCCTGCATTCCTCAAGAGAGGCAAGATCCAAATTCAGATAATCCTGAATAAACGTAATTCACATTTGAGAAAGAAAAGGTTTAAAACTAGGTGGAAGCCAGATGACGCACCTGAAAGGTGCACGTGGACATGGCTCCTGTCGTTACAGCAAGTCTCTCAGGAGCCACTAGAAACGTAACAAAAGAAGGTACATATGCAGCCCAGGGACAAGAAACCTTCAGAAAGGACAGTCACACTTACCAGCAAAACGGTCAGTAGCCAGAGAGTCCGTCCTGAGGCTGCCTATGTCAGCCTGCCAGTTTTTGCTGTGTGGGACAGGAAGGGAGGGCAAACGAGAAGAAAACCAGAAGGAAGTTACTTATCTGCATTCTATAACCCAGATCCTTTTACCTCCCAACCAGAAGAAAGCAAAATGTTATTTATACTTTGCTTACTAATACTAATATTTAGACAAGTTTCTTGGGGGAAAAAAGGATGCTCTGCCCCCAGGCTACTAACTTCGAACAAAACCTATCACAGTAAAATCTAAACCATTCAGAACTTTGAGAGGGCAACTCTTCCCACTGGACCTGAGGGAGTGATCCCTTAATGTCAAAACTTTTAAATTTGACCATTTTGAAGTAAAATCCTTACACAATTGATGGTTCTCCTGCATGGCTGAGTAATTTCCCCTGTATTCACCTAATCTCTGACTGCTGTGCCACAAAGACAAAGAGTCTGTAAACCTGTGCTCCCATGCAGTACAGAACATGGACCTTGGGGTCCCGAGCTCTTTGGGGTGACTGAGAGCTACTGCCTTTATGAGCTCGCTATGGGTTTGTAGTTACTTTGTTCTCGCTGTTCTCCTGTAAAAGTCCTTCCGTCCCTTCTAATCCACTGGGGATTTAGAAACCAGCCATAAAATAGCAGGGTTGGAAGGAGCCTTCAAAGGCTGTCTGGGGAGGACCAAGAACTACTCTGTGAAGCAAGAGGGTGTGGGCCATCTTGCCTTGGGGACTTCGGGAGAGGGAGGCTTCCCAGTAGGTTACCTGCCGCTTTACACAAACCCCACATACACTCAGTAAAGTGCAAGGAGGTGGATTTTACGATGGGGGTAAGGTAGGTGTCCAAAATGGGAGAATCCACAACAGTAATAAGAACACTGACTACCTAAATGGAGAATAACATTGTCAAATTCTTGCCAATACGGCGACACATAATTCAGAAGCTAGAAGACAGGTCGCGGCAATCAGGGGTATATCAGCAGACTCTGGATTTAAGAGGGTCTCATTATCCAGCAGCGTTTCAGGACTTAACAAACAAACAAACAAACAAACAAACAAACAAAAAACCAAATCTCTAAATGCAGGGTTTGAGTCACAGAGGGAAAGTACAAGCCAGAGAGGTTCTGGCCTCTCTGGGGCCCGAGTCCCACCAGACACTCCTCTGTACCAAGATGGATGGAGAAAAATGGAGATATACTGACCAGGATAACTCTCAGAATCTTCCTCCAACAATGCTAACCCACAAGTTCTAAAGATTAAGATTTTTCTGTGAAATCAAAGTGTCAGAGTAGCACATCCACATGTGGATTTCGATAAGGTATAGAGCACTTGGAATCCCTGGGGTTCCAAGTGTCTAACCTGTGCACACTTAGCCAGGCTAGGCACAAGATGGAGGTGTTCTAGGTCAAAGTGCTAGCAGTGAACCCAGGACCCAGGTGTCCACCCTGCCCTCCTTGCTCAGAACTTGTACTTGGGCTGTACCTGCTCTTTTACCTGCTGACCTTGCATCTCAACAGCCTCCCACTCCAGGTCACGCTATGTCACTTCCTAAAACCCACAGCCATCTACTCCCTAATGAGAGACAGACAGACAGCTTCTCCACATGACCATGTTCACACCCTCTCACCTGGGTTTCCACTGACCAGCCTCCCTCCTGCCCTTCTGGACAAGGGCAAATCTTCAGTGCCCAGTGATAACCACTAGGTAAGCCTGTAAAATACAGTAACTGTCCATCCCGCCTCCCCTCCTCCCAGGAGCAATTTCCACCCTGCACCTAGTGTCACCTAAGATAAGACCAATTCCTAAAAGTCTCTTCTGAGATAGCTCACACACCTTTCAGCAGTCAATTCCAGCCAGCTCTTCTACGAAACTCCTTAGTCCAAGAGGCTCAAGAAAGGGTCACCAACCCCATTAAACCTACTGATGTGTCAGAGGGAGAGCCTATCCCAGAGCCTCTAACGACCCCAAATGTGCACAGGCCCTTGAGAAGCAGAACAGAGTGGATCTCCAGAAAGTCCAGACTTGTGTGACAAGATACGCCGGGTCTCTAGTCCCCAGATTTCCAGTGGCAGTTTATCACAGCTGGAAAAGAATGGATCGCAACAAGTAGCAGAGTTAACATCTGGGGCTCTGATATTATCAAATAAAGTTTCTCATTTTCTTATAAACTTCTCAAAACCCCATCTTTTTAGAATCCACTTTAAACACACACCTGATAACACATATGTAAATGAAGACCTCCCTCTACCTGAGGCTCTGGGCTGAGACTGTATAAAAGGCCAAAGGCAGCCCTCCTAACATGCTCTCAGCATGACTGCCTGCCTGCCTCTACTTCCACAAAGCAGCACCTAAGAAACTGTCCCCCATAGCCTTATGCCCACCCAAACCTGCTCCCCACCAGCCCTTGCTCTGCCTTCACAGACAACACCCAGCAAGATGACTCCCACTCCATTGAATCCTTGGACGACCTCACCAGTGATCACTACTATCTTAAGTTCTCAGGGGACCTTACACAGGCCCCATTATCAAAGAATAGAGGCCAAACATGCTATCAGTTCCTCACTTAATCTAATAAACTGCTCAAATCGAGCTGGAAAGGGACCTCAGGCACCACTTGACAGCAATCTTTGACTACCACCAGAGAGGACCTGTGCGGCTTTCCAAGAGAGCCCTGCTTCACCTCTGCACAGCTGTCAGAATAGTCTGCCTCATGTAGTGCCAAGATCTACAACTTCTTGCTCCACTCTTGCCACAGAGAACAAGTCCACTCTTCTCTACAAGAGTGCTTCAGACATGTGAAGCCCTTTCTACTCCAGTTCTTCCCAAGATTGCTCCAATCCCTTCCTCATTTTGGTTGCTCTCAAGTACTCTCCCTGCAGGAAGCATTGAGATCCTCTCACTCAAAGCAAATCTCGAACTACTCTCACTGTGGACTTTAAGTCTTATTTCTCAGAGTGTAAATGTTGGGAGGGGTGCGCGGGGGAACACATCTCAAAATACAACTAAGCAGCAAACAGAACTAGACCCAAAGGAAGGCAGACAGACAGAAGCACAGACTCTTCTCTTCATCCGGGAGAACTGTCAGGCACTCCTATCATGTGGGAGAAACGCAAAGTCCCAACGACATCTGCGGACTACATCTGAAGCCTGGTCCTAACACACAGACAACAGGAAAAGTCTTTAAAAGAAGAATTTTCCTTCTCTACTATAAATACTTGTTGATTCCCTGGTGCCGTTCTGCCAATTATATTTTCAAAAGGAAAAGTCTTTGCAAAGAAGTAAAAGCAGGGAAAGAACTTTAGCTCAGCCACCTAACGACAATCTCCTCCCTTCACAAAACTAGACAGGACTGAACATGGACGACATCAAGAACCTCCGGTGGAAACCCAGAACTCCCTTCCTCTTCTTCCAAAATTAAATTTACTTTTATCCCCACACTAAACCTGCAAAAGAATTTTCCCCCCAAAAGTACTTCTCAAGACCCACAAACCAAGCTTGAAAACAAACCCAAATTCCCCGCGGGCTAAAAGTTCCCAAAGCCCCAAGGCGAGCGAGCGAGGCCCCCACGAGGGCCAGGTGAGCGGCTCCAGCGAGTTCCAAAGTCGGCACCCGTCCCGCAGGAGGAACTTTCGCAGATGCCACCTCAGCAGGCCCTCCCACAGGCCACGCGAGCCCGCGGGCGGGGACAGGCTTAAAGGGGCAGTAACGCGCTCGGCCTCCCCGCCTTTCATCCAAATTCGGTATTTTTCCGTAATGTATTTTTCGTGTGCGGACCCTGGGGTGCGTCCAAGTTGCGCGGCAGCCCCCCAGGGCAGCAGGCCCACCGACCACGTAGACGGGCAGCAGGTGGAGGTGCGGCTGGGCCTGCACCGGCCCTGCCACTGTCCCGGCCCCGGCCCTGCCCTTCGGGTCCCGCACTGCACCCCAGGCACCCCCCCTCCCATCCCGGACCGGAGGAGGGGCGCGGGGGGGGGGTGGGGGGGAGCAGCTCTGCGGCCGGACGCCCACGTCACCGGCCCGGGCCCCAGGTCCAACGCCCCTCCCCCGCACCGGGCTAGGGGGCTGGGGGTGGGGGGCGGAGGAAGCTGGACCCCTCGGGGTTGCCTCCGCGGGAGGTGCGGGTGTGTGCGTGCGGGGGGGGCGCGCGGGCCGGCGCCAGCGACTCGGGAAAGTTTCTCACTCTTCCCAAGCCGGCGTCGCGGCCCATGCGCAGTGCTGACACGTAGCCGCCCCCCGCGTCTGGCCGGGCGGCGGAAAGGGAGGGGGCGCTTGGGACGGGGGGACGCCCGGTTGGCGGCAGAGGGGGAAGAGTTGGGGGGGAGGCGGCCGCGGCCCCTCCCCCGCCCGGCGCTCCACGTCGGCAGCCCGCGCCCCGCCCGCCCCGCGCCCCAACTTCCCCGCGCGCCCCCTCCGCGCTGGCGCCCGCCCCCCTGCGGCCCGTGCTCACTGCTCGGGGTCGGCCCGTCCGTCCCGCCGTCCGCGCGCCGGTCCGCTCGCCGCCCGCCGCGGAGAAGCCGGGCCGCGCTCCGAGACCGGCGCCCGGGCCCCCGCGGCTATATAGGGCGGCGGCTCCAATCCCGCCGAGACACGTCAGGCGGCGGCCGCCCCGCCTCGCCCCGCCCCCGCCGCCGCCGCCGCGCCCACGCCCCGCCCCCGTCGCCCCCCGCGGGGTCCCCACGCGCGGCCCCCGCCCCGCCGGGCCAGGGCGAGCGGTCGGGGTCTGGACCCAACTCCGGAAGGGCTCCGTGGCTTCCAGGGTGGGCGGTGGGGTCGGAGACTTGAGAAATGCACACCCCCCAACCCCCACCACCTCCGGAGCGCAGCGCGGAGACCCGCACCGGCCGGCCCAGTCACCGGCAATACCGCCTGCCTCCCCACCCGAAAAAGAAACAAGACCGCGAAGGACAACACAAAGGAAATTAACTGCCGCCTCCTCCCGGTGCACGGATGGACGCTGAGGCGGCTCCAACCGAACCCAAGTCCGTGCCCCAGAAGTTCGGAGCAGCTTCCTTCCGGGTGCTCGGGGGTGTGGGGGGGGGGTTCAGCTCCTGGTGTAGCTCATCACCTCCACAAGTAACCCTACTCGCTGACCACCCTCCTTATGTCCATAGTGCATGCTGTCCGCATGGAGGTAAGAACAGGTATGCCTACTACGTGCCCAGCCCAAGAACCAGCAAAAGAATCACCTCCCCTCCAGGGGCTTCCACCCTAGACGGGGAGATGGCTGATCAGGTCTGCGTCCCTTGCATAATAAATAACTGCACTGTTTGATTTTTTAAAATCAAGGGCGGGCCCGACACAGGAATCTGTAGACATCAGCTTGTACCTCTGATGGAAGTGTCCCGAGCAGAGTCCTGCACGCATTACGTGAGTGCCCCACACAGGGCAAGAGCACGGGATTGTGGGCAGAAGAGGCCGGCTTCAGCAGGAAGCCCACAGCCAGGTCAGCACAGCTGGCAGCTCTCATACAGGTGTTGCTGAGGTGGGGAGGATGACTGGAGTTTGGAGTGGCAGAAAGCACGACCAGATGTACTTTTTTCAGTGGAACACAAAGTGTTGGGGGGGAGGGGGTTGGGCCACTGCAGTTGTTCAGTGTGAAGATGACACCAGCTTTCAGTTGTGGTTGGCAATGGTACATGAACTAGGTGGCCAGATTTGGAAGGTAGCACCAAGAAGTTCCTCACTAACTGAAGGCAGAGCCTGATAGAACTTAAGAATGGCGGGGAGGGGCACCTGGGTGGCTCAGTCAGTCAGTAGCCTAGGGGCTCAGTCATTAAGCCTCTGGCTTCCACTTAGGTCATGATCCCAGAGTCCTAGGAGTCCCGCATCAGGCGCCCTGCTCAGTGGGAAGCTTGCTTCTCCCTCTTCCACTCCCCCTGCTTGTGTTCCTTCTCTTGCTCTGTCAAATAAATAAAATCTTAAAAAAAAAAGAAAAAAAAGAAAGAAAAAGAATGTCAGGGAGGTTCTTGGCTGCCTGCACTGAGATTGGGAGACTAAAGGAAAACCAGACTGGAAAGGGAGGAGTGTGATGCAAAAAGCTGCCTTGGGGAATGTGATGTGAGATGCCCACTGGATGGCCAAGTGCAGATGTCAAGTAGGAAATTGCATGTGCAAGCTGAAGGTCAGGGGAGAAGCCCAGCCCAACCAGCAGGAGCCCCTCATGACATCACAGCGGAAGAGAAACTATGTGAGGCAGTCAAAAATCCACTCTGTAGAGCCAAGGACATCATCGTCAAAGCACTGCCCCAAGTCCCTAGGGTGGGGCCTGGACAGATGGCATATCCTTACACTCGGAAGAACCTCTTGAAGCACCAAGCTCTTCAGCATCCCTTACTATGGTTATTAGTGTTTGCAGGTAGTCCTTCCATGGAGACTAACCAACCAGCAACTCAGACAAGTGTATTTTTTTGTTTTGTTTTTAAAGTCAGTACTGTGTGTATATGTGTGTGGGGGGATGGGGGAGGGTTGAGAGGGAGGAAGAGGGGAGGGATTCCCAAACAGTTGGCAGGTCAACTGTCAAGAAACTTCCAGTGAAGCTTGGCAATCACCACAGTCAGAAGCTCACACAGTAGCTGCTGCACAGAAGCCCTTAAGAGATGTAAAAAGACACTGAAATCAGATGTTGAATTTGTGGTACAGACCATCCCAGGATGCTTCTTTGCTGATCATTATGACCAGCTTTTCTTCCCAGCAAGCTTCAGTGCATTGAAACTAATAGTTTGTAGAGGCAGATTTTGAGAGCGCTGGGTCCAGCAACAGTCACACCAGATAATGTGTGAGGAAACCCCCTATGGGTACCTCAAAAAGGGAACATCAGTCTGTGACATTTGGGTTTTCAGCTCAAGGGGGATATACATGGGAGAAGATGTGGGCTTGCTCAAGTTAAAATTTAGAACAGCATCCCCAGCCCCACAGAGCCATGGCCCTCAAAAGAACTCTCAACAGAAGGTAGGCCATTTGGGGGGGAAAAAAAAGCAAAAAACAAACCCACCAGCATAGAGACTTTCCAATCTGCTTTACCAGGTGGTGGGAGCTC